TGCATAAAACTCATAACCAAACATTAGGTCGAGATTCCGAAAAATAAAATTTGACCCAGTAAAAGCATTGTCTGCTTGAAAATAAGTAAGTCGATTACAAATCCTTAAGTTTGTAATATAAGAAAATAATTTGAGAAGTTTATTCGCCGAGATTTGCCATTTTTAAAGAGAGCAATCTCTTTGGCCGAAAATTTTAAGGCCTCGAGCAATTTTTTTAAGTATATTATTTTATCAATCAAATATCATAATTTGATATTAGACAATCCTGGTGTGATCAAGAGATACATTTTTCTTTTCAAGAATCTACTTTATCTACTTTCATCTCAATATTAATCATAAAAGATAAATACCGATTCTTTGATGCTCATATTTCATTGTAAAAGATAAATTGCTAATTTCGTTTCCAATTACTAAAACACATAATATTGTAAAACCCGTAAAACGTATTAATATAAATCATATAATCGTTATTGAGATTTATCTTAAAGCCGCGTAGGAAGTTAATAAATAAGCAGATTTTGCATATATTTATAAATACCCGTTAATCAAGCAAACAGTCGGGTGTAAAAAATATTGTTATTTATGCACTGTTGTTAAACGCGGGAGCTCTGCATTGCGGACCCATTCATCAAAATGGCATCTTCACATAAGACTTCCATCTGACTAGTAGACCGTAAAAATAACTGTTACAACATGGTGATATTGAATGAATGGATGTAGCTCATCTTAGTTGATTGATAGTAAATAAACGTTGAACAAAAAGCTAATTTATTTACTACTTTCTTCAGAAAAGTCCCAATATCTGAACTAAGCGAGGAATTCTCATCACGCATACGCCTGTATGCGTTAAAAGGGTCTATACATCTATACATTTTCTGATCTTGACATAAAAATACAAGAACACAAACGTGTACAATATGTCCCCACCAAGTGGTGATCCCGTGAAATGGTTATCCTGAAAATGAGTAGACAAGACTTTACCAACACAATTTGAGGACGGAAAATCCAAAGTGGCCACCTTAAAATTTACCCAGAATGCCAAAAATTTAGTCAGTTCTAGATTTTCATACTAAGAACCACCCCTGAAAATTTGAAATTGATCCGTCACACAGTTAACCAGAAAACATGTAAACAAGACTTTACAGACAAGATTTCAGGATGGAAAATCCAAAATGGCTGCCTTGACATTTACCCAGAATGTCAAAAAACTAATCTGTTTGTAGATTTTCATACTAAGAATCATCCCTGAAAATATGAAATTGATCTACCAAACGGTTCACCCGAAAACGGGTAGACAAGACTTTACAGACAAGATTTTAGGACAGAAAATCCAAAATGGCTGCCTTAACATTTACACAGAATGCAAAAAAACTAATCAGATGTAGATTTTCATATGAAGAATCATCCCTGAAAATTTGAAATTGATCTATCAAACCGTTCACCTAAGAACGCGTAGACAAGACTTTACAGGCAAGATTTTAAGACGGAAAATCCAAAATGGCTGCCTTGACATTTACCCAGAATGCAAAAAAACTAATCAGTTCTAGATTTTCATACTAAGAATCATTCCTGAAAATTTGAAATTGATCTACCATACAGTTCACCTGAAAACGAGTAGACAAGACTTTACAGACAAGATTTTAGGACGGAAAATCCAAAATGGCTGCCTTGACATTTACCCAGAATGCCAAAAAACTAATGAGATCTAGATTTTTATACTAAAAATGATCCCTGAAAATTTGAAATTGATCCACCAAATGGTTCACCTGAAAACGCGCAGACAAGACTTCACAGACAAGATTTTAGGACGGAAAATCCAAAATGGCTGCCTTGGCATTTACCCAGAATGCCAAAAAACTAATGAGATCTAGATTTTTATACTAAGAATCATCCCTGAAAATTTGAAATTGATCCACCAAACGGTTCACCTGAAAACGCGCAGACAAGACTTCACAGACAAGATTTTAGGACCGAAAAATCCAAAATGGCCGACAATAAAAAAGTCCTTATGAGTTTTTGCTGATTTCTTTTTACAAAATTATCACATATAACTACTGTTAACAATAAAGTAGGCTTTTACAACAAAGTGCATCTGAAATTATTTATAAAGCTACTAAATAGTTAAAGTATGAAAACTCAAAAACACCATTCAATATGATACAAAGTATTATCGCGCGCTAACTTTTCTTAGGACATTCAAAATGGCTGACACGACTGAGCTAGCAGGTCCAAAACCTAATCAGATCTAGAATGAAGTGAGCTGAACAAGATGTTAAAGTTTTAAAAGCAACTGTGAAGCAGTTTTTCTTAAAGTTTGCAGACAAGGATTTTAGCATTTGACTTCAAAATGGCCGACAGGAAGTAGGTTTCGAGTTAAATTTTTTTCATCCACATCTATAGGCACTCATAAGTTATCCCTGAAAATTTGAAGGTGATATCTGTAGCGGTTTTGGAGAAAACTCCCGGACGTACGGACGGACAGACAGACGGACGGACAGACGGACGGACAGACGGACGGACGGACAGACGGACGCGCCTAGGCCGACAATATGGCCCCACACTATGTGGTGGGGACATAACAACTTATGAATTTAGTTTGCGACCTGACCTTGTGTACGACTATAATATATATTCTCTGGGATTGCACATACAACAGTCTTCCTTCTCCGGCTGACACATGCCATGATCTACCTATAGCTATAGACAGTAACTGCTGTTCGTAGCATACATTAACTTACTGCCACTCTATATATACTTCCTCAAAAACGTAATCTCGATTGTTTCTACATTACGTTACAGAATCGTTTTGGACAGGCATGAAACTGACCGCGTTACCCCTATACTATCCACCGTGTATCTGTCCCTGTGGTACCAGGGAGTCACCTATATCCAACGTGGAATTAAGCAAGATTATACTCTAGACTATTCTCACAATTTTTTCAGAATTTTTCAATTCTTTCCCAAATTCTTTCATTTTTTCAAAAAATTCATTGTTTCGAAAATTTTCTTTTTTTCAAGAATAGAATGGAAGATTATTTTTCAATAAAATAATTTTCATTAAATAGATTAAAATTCCTCAATTCACTAACCTTTTATAGCATTACTATCTAGCTTTCGACAACTCCTGTTGCCTTTCTCAAGATGTCTGAATTTTGGCGGGAAACTGGTAGATTTGTACCAGTTTCCCGCCAAAATTCAGACATCTTTAGAAAGGCAACAGGAGTTGTCGAAAGCTAGATAGTAATGCTATAAAAGGTTAATGAATTGAGGAATTTTAATCTATTTAATCATACACCTAACCAATGAACAATTTCGGATAAAATAATTTTCATCTTTTAATTTTTAAAGTATTATGTTTTTTGCCCTTAATTCTCACTGTACTTTGGAGTGGCATAATATGTAACGTGCATTTTTCCAAGATTCAATCCTTTTTTCTCTCATTCAACAGAAGATTTTGGTTAGATATTGTTTTTGAACATGGAACTAGGTCGGTATTAACCTGTCAAGGTGATATGGGTATTATCACATGGTTGCAAGGATATAGATCGAATATTACAGAATATATATTTGATATGAGGATCATAGGATGTTTTAGCAAAAAATCTCAAACCATCGTGTATCACTTTTAAACTATCGAATATCACGTCTTAAAAAGTGATATTCAATGGTTTCAAAAGTGATATTCCATGATTTAAAAAGTGATATTCGATGGTTTCGAATTTCTTCCAAAATTTTTTTTCTTAAATTTCAAATGTTTTTTTAACAATTTTTCAACTTTTATTTCAAATTTTCATTTTCAACTTTTTTCGCTGATGATGATTTCCCATGGGATAAACGGACAATCCTCTGATTTTTCAGAAATATCACTTACATCCACTAATGGATATAAATATCTTCACTCATTCGCTGCGCGCACTCATGAAGATATCAATATCCATTCATGGATATCAAATTAATGATATTTTTAGGATATTCCTATATTATCCCATAGTTAAGGTCAAATCAGTAGAATAACACGTATATTAATGATATTTTGCAAATGCGTGGAAAAAGCGATATATGTCGCAGTTCATAGGATATCCTATACATATCCCTTGGATGATATCGATATTTCCTTCGGTCACTGCGTTCCCTTTGGGAAATATTGATATCATCCTTGTGATATTCCCCATATCAAATCCGTCCTGCTGGTGAATTTTTATTCAATAACACGTTTTAGTCCATAATAACATGTTTTCCCTGGGAAATAACAGGGAATATAATTGATATTTAAACAATCCCGTGTCAGATCCCGTTTCAGCCGAAATCCCATATAGCAGATCCTGTATTGGATCCCGTATCAGCCAAAATCCCGTATCAGAGACCGTATTGGATCCAATATCAGCCAAAATCAGATCCCGTATCAGAACTATTCCCAGGGATTTCTCTTGAATTTTCAAAAACAAATATTATGGAATAAATAGGTTGTTATTACCACCTTGTCGGGCCTGTTCTAGGGGTATTAGTGCCAGTTTAGAAGGCATTTATTTTACCATATTGACCTGAGCAATATGTGACGTCATAGTGGCGGGCCAATATTAGATTTACAGCCCGGCAATGTTTCCCCGGGAAATTAGATATCGTTAAGTGTGTATAATTTTCGTTCAGTGGCAGTCCGTTCTTGCTATTTCAGCCCTGGGCATAAACGGTGGTAATAATACTAATTTCTGCCATCGGCCAATATCATATTTTCCCTCGGAATTAATTTCATATTCCACCCCTCCCAATAAATAACCTCTATATCTACAAATTATATTTTCTGATAGGAGTAATCATTCGTCTAACTTTAAGTTTGATCACAGTTCTAGAATGACTCATCATGACGTTTTATTATTGCTTGGTCAGTTATCATCACTTTACTTAATTACGCTTGTTAAATGTATTTTTGAAATAACAATATAACTGAATGGTATGATTTCATAATAGTGATACGTATAACAGTTGATATTTTTGTTTTTCAGGTCTAAACGGACATATCAGTTCAAGAGGGGAGCAGTGTAGCGAAGGGGAATCTCTACGATAGCCGCCAAGGAATAATCCAATCATTGTTTTACTTAACTTAAACGATCACTAACTGACACATAGAGAAAACATAAAACAGAAAGTTCACGTATGGTTGATTGGTTCCAAGCACTATATCCAAACGGGGCCTCGTGGAAACAATAACGTTATTGGAAAGCTTACTGAATTTACGGCAAAAGTAAGACAACTAGATTCTACAGATGATCAGATTTACTACCGTTTCTAGATGCAATTTAAATTCGGAGCATGAGCCATCATTCTTGAGTTAAATACTTTGATAAAGACAAAATACAGCATTAAAGCGCATGGAAATTGAATGCCAATGATTGTGTCTGACGTTGATGAATCGCGTCTTATTAACGAGTCGTTGATTAAATGGCGATTATACAGAGTTTGACGGGAAGTCATTGCAATTTAAAAGACAGATCAGTAGAAGGAGGAGTAAGCATATCATATGACCTGTGACAAAAGTCACTAATTGTCTAGTTATAGCTCTTAAATTGGCACATTGAATTTTCTCCAAGAGTTAGAAGAGCCTGTTATAACTCTCTTTAGAAATATATTCGTATTATTATGTCCGCCATGGATTCGTCTGATGTAATGGATCAGAGCGCTAATCAATCACACCTACAACCGTCAGTTATGGAAACTGGACTAGTAAGGCAGGAATGCAATATGACAGAACCGTTTTGTTGTTTTAACGAAACGGCAAATTCGACAATGAACTGTACTGGACAGGGGAATCCATACACACAAGAATGGTACATTCAGTTGATCTATTATTTCTTTTTCGTGGCGATGATTGTCATTGCTACAGGTGGAAATATTATTGTTGTATGGATAGTCCTAGCGCACAAGCGCATGCGCACTGTGACAAACTACTTTCTTGTGAACCTAGCAATAGCAGACGCACTGATTTCAATATTTAACACGTCGATGAATTTCACCTATTTGCTGAATCAGGACTGGTGGTACGGAAGAGCATGGTGTAAGATAGTGATGTTTACGTCCCCATTTACAATATCGGCCAGCGTTTTCACGTTCATGGCAATAGCCCTGGATAGGTATGTTGACTTAAGAGACATCTATAATTAAAAAAACAACAATGTATTAATTATGTGTCCAATGCTTGCAGTAGTTAATACATGTACGTCCACTTAGAATAAAGTTTGTCCTCGAACATGACACACCTTTCTTTAGTGATAAGTGATAATGTGTCACAAGATAACAACTCCAATTATCGAAATGATTGACGCAATACTTTACCTTGGCAGTGTAATTTTTCAAAATTAATTTTCAGTGACTTGATTTTTCTTGATATTGATATGAACTCTTTCATTTTATTAAAGAATATACTTCTGTCATATGATATGCAATATTTACCAGATTTAGAAGTAATACCCATAGACGTTGTGTTTTCAGGTTCGTTGCGATCGTCTACCCTCTGCGACCACGCGCAACAGCCGCTCAAATATTGATGGGAATTTTCCTCATTTGGATATGTTCTTTTGTATTGTCATTTCCAATGCTATTTTATGGTACACTCATTTACGCTGATCCTAATATGAAGGATTATCGAATTATCTGTTATATTGAATGGGGAACCGAAATTGAACACGCGTAAGTCTACCTGCTTGACAAGATTACGTAGAGAAAACAAGCAAGAACAGTTTCCGTGTGATATTTTGTTTGACCTGCGGCCTGCCATTATTAGATATTAAGTTTGAATTCTATCTTTTTAGAAGTTGTAGCTAGACATGAATGCAATAATTCGAATGCCTAAATAGTGCCTAAGATGTTCCCAGTGGATGAGAATAAGGAAACCACACGCATCCTTTACTAATTATTGTTGATTTGTCTTTCATTTATTTATGTTAATTACAATATATGTTATTGGTTTGTTTTAACAATTAAGCTACTAAATGAATAATCAATGTATTTGTTTGATTTACTTATCATTTAGATTTCTATAGGAGGCATGGACGTAGTTCTGTTGCGGGGACTTGGAGAATCGAGTGAAATATAAATTACTGTTGTATCTTGAGAGTACTAAATTAGAATCATGAACGTATCTATCTCTTCTTAGGATATTCGTCATGGGGCCTTAAATCTCCTGGTCGTGTTAAGGTTTGACAATCTAAGCGTCCATTAACTCATAGTCAATTTAACTAAATGGAAAGTAAAGCTCTTTAATGCCATTCATATTAGTCTTGCTTTCAAAAACCAATTGATTCCCTTGTTTTGAATCGAAAAGTATGGATTTAGCAGTTCTTTTCGATGGAACAGCAGTATATCTTTATTAATTCGTCCCATCCTCGTGTGCACAAACAAAGTAGAGTGACTCCAGAATAATTCATTCAGTCCTTGCGTATTAACAAAATGTATTGACTTGATGTGTATATTACAATCAATCAAAAATGTATATTCCTTTAGATAACTCTAGAGCTTTCCCTGCAAATACCATTCACGCCCCCAACAGTATCTCGGAAATGTAAATACATGTATTGAGGAAATTATCACTCACCGACACATTTCCGTCTTATCACGCTGTAATACATGAAGAGAGTCATTTGATCTGGGAAATCCTTTTTCTATTTGCTTAATAATAGCCCAAAGAAATATAGGGATTGACTTAGAACCATATGTCTAAATAGCTCATCATTTCAGGTTGGCTCACTGTATGCTAGAAGTGAAAAGAGAGGAGCATGACGAGCTTGAATATAGCGACAACATAGAAGCATGTCCAGATACTGGAATGCATTTTGTATTTGCATGTTGATTGTCATTGCGAAATTTTGGACCGTCACCTCATTCACATTTTCATAATTAGTTATTTCTATGAAAATGTAATTATTTATAGCTTAATTTTAAAAGCATCACTGCTATTTGTCTATCAAATTAAGTGCCAAAAAGTCTCTAATTTGTGTTAATATATTGAGATGATATACTACACTTTCAATAATGAAAGGTTGGTAGCTTTTAACAAATTAAAATGCTCTTCATCATTAGTTTGTGACGAGTTGATAAGTCCAAAATCATACGCCATGTAGTAAGTTCATGTATAAATGTAGTTGCATTTTGATGGATCTTTCTCCTAGGTTACGTCCTAAATGATATACACTCCCTTTCATAAATATTGAACCGTTTATGCAGGGGAATGTTAACTAGATAGTGTGCTTTGATAGGTATAAAGCTATCATCCATCCTCTTAAGCCACGGCTCCCATCCGAGACCATATTTCTGAGTATATTTTGTATCTGGACCGCCGCACTTGTGGTAGCCGTACCAAATCTAATATACGCAACGACACACAAGTGGGACTTGGAAAATTGTGACACTCGCACTGTTTGTTACTTAGAATGGCCAGATGGTGTTTATATGGCACATGACCACATGTAAGTTCCACTCGACATCGTAGTTTCATCTACTGCAGTTGCTATTATGCCTCTCAAAGGGGGGTTGGGACTCTGTGGCGCTTGAATGTCTTTCATTGGCAAACTAAACACGAATCGAAATTATCCTTTCGCCAAAATATATATATTACAGGGTGGTCATAAAACGGAAACCCAGCATTTTCCTAATAACTTTGTCATATTAACGCATATTTGGTACCTTGTACATCATTCGATTTCCTACCATCCTACCATATTTCATAACCATCAGCTTCATATTCAAAATGTTACAGCTTTTTAAACAACATGCTCAAGGCGTGGCCATCATCATCATCCATTTTTTGACCAACCTGTATTAACAATGAGATTCTGAAATATTTATTGGAAGGGGGCGCGACATGGGTTGATATGAGCAAGGTAATAAAATATGAAAATTCGGGAAAATAACTGGACATCCAAAAATATGTTAGATGAGACTTTGATATTAAAGTACAACGGAATTTCGGAGCAAAGTATACAGAATATGAAATACAAAGTCTACACATGTTGCGCGCACCCTTCTCTCCAATTAAAATCTGTATTTTTGGTCTACACTCCAGTACTTTACCATTCCCCGAACGTTTGGTCAAGCTACCCTGAACGCCTAACCCCCTTCCCGAGTTTTTATTCGAGTACCCTGGTATGTCATTTGCACATTGAGATTAGAGGAACTGTGGCGCTACTCTATAGTCTGGTGCATCATGTAGTACTAGAATTTGTATTTCTCATGATTGATGGCGGAGAAATGCACCAACTCTGCTTATATGATTACTAATTTATATATATCAATATATCAATTTGTATATTAATAGGTAAAAATAGCATAATGTTTCATTGACTCTTTCAACTCGAATTCTACATGGAAATAGACACAGGGAGGATGATAATAATTGATTGCTGCATCCCATGAAAAATATTTTTGAATTCCATACATTATAAAAAATATAGCACAATAGAAAATGGGCGTTTTGGCCATCCCTGTAGATAATCGTTGACAATTGCAATTGCATTTTACATTATATCGACTATGATGAACCTTACGTCATTATTCAATACAACACTGGGTGTTTGTAGGTACAACGTAATCCTTCTTCTGTTGAATTACTTCATCCCATTGGTTATCTTGGCCGTGACGTATGCCATGGTTGGCAAAGCATTATGGGGAAGTCAAACAATTGGGGAAAATGTTGGAGCACGACATGGTGAAAATGTCAAATCGAAGAGAAAGGTAAGTTAAGTTCAGCTGCGAAAACGGCATCATTGTACCCTCGGTAAAGAAAATAATATTACTAAACTCATTTGGTCACATGGAATAAACATTGTGAATAACTGGTAGAAATTCTTAAAAATTGGATGACAATTTAAAAAAGTTAGCAATGGTTAAAAACGTTGTCTCACAGACTCACTAATGTGACCTTTTCCTTTAAATTACGTCATGAATCACAATTAGCTATCATCAGTGTAATACATTTTCCTATATAACCAAGGACATCATTCTCTATTTTTTATATTCTTAATACCATTTGAAAAAATATTGACACACTGACAGGAAATTATGGAGGTGCCAAACCCGTCTAAAACATGATTTCTAGGCAATTTTACGCCTTAAATAGCAGTGAAATTAGGGATAGGATGAAACCATTTTGCTCAATAAACATATTAATTTATATATCATATCTGACATAAATTATGGTATGCATACACGGTAAGCTAAGTATAGGATGTATAATATATTTATGGGTCATTGAGAAAGATTAAGAATTATAATTATCTTACATTTTCAAGTTTATTTTAATATATGTCACCCTTAACCCTAATTTTGAACTGAGAATTCGAAGAGACCTCTGAATCTGAAGGACATAACCTCAAATTCTATAACAAAATTTTTCTAATTAATCGGACTTTCATTCTGTAACTGATATTTTTCACAAGTTTTTATTGGATTGAAGACTTTTTCAAATGGTGTATTCCTTTAAATGTAACTTACAATTTAACTTGGTGTCTCAAGATCCTCTTCTTGAGCACATTGCTGGGTAAAGGATTTCTCAAATTGATGACGTCAATTTATGGTAAAAAGTCACACTCGCGATTTTGGGAGTTGTTATGTTCAATCCTTTCTAACTTTTTACCATATTTACAAAAAATTTTGAAATAACATTATACCTTTGGTATGATAATAACGAAAAGTGAAAACGATATGATTGGTAAAGCACCTTTTTTCTTTACAGAGGGTATATCAATTCACATCTTCTTCCTTTTCCATGACTAACGATTAATGATATGTCACAAGTAACGGAGATAAACTTACAATTAACCTTGATGAAGACATCACTTAAGAACATGGTAATGAGCGCTATCAGTACGTTTTGTTAGGATACCTTTTAACTTAGTTGACAAGCTATTCTGATTGCTCCCATTTATGTGGTCGATATGGATGTCTTTAACCTATTTGTATGTGACTATATTTTTTAGCTTTTTGTATTTATGTATCAAATCTCTCTAAACTCATTGTACGTATCTAACCATCAACTTTTTAGATCGTTAAGATGATGATCGTGATTGTTGCAATATTTGCCGTTTGTTGGTTTCCGATGCACCTTTATTACATCATCGTTTACCACTTCCCCGACCTTACGCTACAGCCGTTTGTGCAACATCTGTATTTGGTGTTCTACTGGCTTGCCATGAGCAACTCCATGTACAATCCACTGGTGTATTGTTGGATGAATCAGAGGTACGACTGCATGTTTAGTATGACGTTATATCAGTATACAGGGTGGGCCAAAAAAGCAATACCCTTTAAAGATGAATGATTCATATGATATATCTTGTACCATGCCACGTATTATATACGTAATACGTATTATATATTTCCACAATTTGAAAATCCGCAGTGAACATTTTTGGTCGCTCATGACACCCTGGTGTCACCTTTAGCCTAACTCTTTAATAAAGCAACGGTTTTTCAATCGGATTGTAAGAAAATGATTTATCTTAAAATGATATATAATGCATGACATGAGGCCCACCCTGTATATCAGCAAAGGACAGTATAACTTAAACATCCATACGTTCTGAAATAGTTAACGTAAATAATGTTACGTAAAAGATAATGCCAAGTTCTGTCACCTTAACTGGTAATTGAGTATTACACAATTTCCATATCACTAAACTATATCCCAGTGTTATATTGAGAAGAACAACACAAGCTAATTAAAATAAATATCCAAATTCGTGAGACAAATGACTCATGTCTTCTAGTAGTGTCCAACCTTGTTTCACTCTGACCTTTCCAGATTCCGCCAAGGCTTTCGCTACATTTTCCGCTGGCTGCCATGTAGTAAACGCATGCCACGTGACCCTTTAGATCGAGCGGGCACTGCTATCTCCATGCGCTACAGCCCATCAGACGACCACAACAGAAACGGCTCCATGAGCCAGACGGTTGTGGAAAGTCTCGACGACTGCAGTGCCCCGTTGAAAGATGCACTGAAAGATGAAACAAATGGTACAAGGGGAAATGCGGGAAAGAAATGGGCGACAACTGGACGTTTCTGATCAGAGTGATTCAAATGACATATCCCTGGGATGTATCACTTGAACTTACCTATTACTAAGCTGTAATTAATGTTCTAGTTTATGTAGATACATGCGTTTAACTTTTGATCTGCTGATACTTATTTTGTGACATAATAGAAAAGTTAGATTATATGTGAAAGGTCGGAATTGTATTATTGCATTTTATCTCACTCATAAACGAGGCCCGACTCTTATATTGAGTTTCAGCCAGCCATTTAGAACCTCAGTCATGATAATTCCCAGCTATTTAGATATGCATGTGATGAGCTACATCAACGAGATTATATGTTAAGCCCAAGATATAAACTTCGTCATATGCTGAAGCTTAGTCATATTGTCAGGTCATATTGTGACATTTGATCAATTTAGATCTGACAATGGATATATTTAGGACATCGTTGGATTGGAATGTCATATAATCAAATGCTATCCTGACCAATGTTTCACGAAAGTTATGTGCATGAATTGTGTATATACTAAATGTCTATTATAAATGTATCAATTACATAAGCATAATGTGCAGTTATTCCCAATAAGGCTCCGACGTGTCATCAGTCATTATCGACCCACTTTAGACATAAATAAAGTTTGCATGCATCTAGATGGATGCTGATGGTAAGAATAATGAATCGAAGATAAATTGAATGCCATCCATTTGGAAAATGTCAACCCATGATCTGTTCCTGATGTGCATATGACAAGTGCAGATCAACTCCTAATCTACCCAATATACCTCAGTATATATTAAAACAGTTGCGAATGTGCTCGTAGCGTTAAATGTAACACTACTCGTATCCGTATGATGCTCTATTCCGCTATGAAGACACATACATTTGGAGAGGGGAGGTTCGAGGTTAATCTACACATTTTAAAGATTACTTTTTCCGTTAACGTGTAATATCATGATCCCCAGGGACAACTGCCCCCATAGAGCAGAATAATTCAACACATTGATATACCAATTACTTTTAAAATGCGTAACTTGAATTCCTAATAATGCGTAATTTATATTTATGAATCCAATGACAGTTGTTTCTTTTATGTGATCGGTATAACATGGCCTTTGTAAATTCAGAATGGCGTACATATGTAATATTATGTGTAAATATGCCTAATGGGGAAAGGTGGAGAAAATGTAGATCAAAATTATTCAAAAGGTTGATGTCCTCAGTTTCTTAATTCACTCTCCTTAGTCTTGCTACAAGCCTACTTGTCCCTATTACCTCCCCACAGTGTGAAAAGTTTTGTTACCTGAGTAGTAAAGTAGTGGGAGAGGGGTCACATGGTCAATCTTTACTGAACTTTTGTAAACATGGTTACACAAGAGTGTAACACCTTACCTAACAATATTGATGTGTATATATGTGTAAATAATAGTTCGATAATGATGCATGGAATATATAGTACAGGGTGAGAAAAAATGTAATTATCAAATGTTGATTTTAGCTTAGCCATTTACTATTTGGAACAATTAAACCTAGTTCAATGTCTTTTCATCAATGGCCATTTTACCAAGCACGCAGCTCCAAATCCCAGTCTCGTCTCATGATCCCCTCCCTCAGCCATTTTTGGTGCTATCTCAAAACTAACAATCCAAGAAACATCACCAGAGAGTTCAAATGAGATATTCGAAAAAAGATGAGAGCCATTTACACAATGTGCCTGTAAGCGTGTGATGAACAACTTCAGTCGATGCGTTCAAGTTTTCCTCTAGGACGAGGCCAGAACTCGTTGCATATTTTTGAAAATGGTCACAAAATGATGACCCATGACATAGACCCGGGCCCATAAAACTTTATAGAATGCAAGATCATTGAACGAGGTTTATTTGTGTCTAATGTAACTTTAAAGCCATGCTGAATGACTGAGCTATAATCATTTCCTTGTGGTACATTTTTTGGCTCACCCTTACCCATTGCTTTTTATATATAAAGGCATTTTACAGGACTGCTGTGAAATCTTATACAATGTGAAATTAATATATTGTGATTCATAATTTGGATGATCTCTCCGTTGGTATTCTCTTGATCCTACAATATTCTGGACTGTCTAATCAGCGTAGAAGACCTTTATTGATCCTGGCAATATAACGAGTGGTAGTCCGCTCATGTATGTTACGCGATATATGGCATACATTCATGGTTGCGCGGTATTTGTGATACGGGTGAATGTGCCATACTCACCTGCGGTATATGGCATATTCTGCAGGTGAGTATGCGATATTCCACAGTGAATATGCGATACATTGATTTAAGTGAATACCCGATACTCACCTGCGGAATATGTCATACTCACTTGCGGAATATGCCATATACCGCAGGTGAATATGACATATACCGCATGTGAAAACGTGATAAAGAAAGCCTTGATCTGATTGGTCGCGAGAATCGAAACTAAATGTAAAACTACGCTGGATTACCAACATAGTTATGGATCCTGAATTGATTGAGTAATTTTATTACGCGAGATTGGTGACTGATACTTCTGCTAAGTTAATATATTCGATACACAGTACTGTTGATTCAGTAATCATTATAATAATTTATAACGTTTTACTTGTTCGTTCAATCGATGCAATTGACAATTGCGTACTTCCGTAACACGTTCTCATTGGTTAGTGTGTATGCCATATACCGCAGGTGAATCTGTCATACATCGCAAATGAATATGCCATGTTCGTGGCGGAATATGACATATTTTTGTATCGTGTTTACCGCGTAACAATGTACATGTAACTATAGAAAATATAGCATTCGTATATGTAAATATTTACACGTTTATGTTTTTAGCCCCAGTCCCAATTAACTTGTTTAATTCTTATTACGTCCTTGTATGACAAATGTTGCCGAATGGTTTGTGCGAATCGATTGGACGTAGTTCAATTTCTACGAATTTTATAAAGGGCATGCTTTGACGGGAAGTGACTTTAAAGATTCGGGACTACATTGGTTGACTGTTTCCCCAATGGCCATTTCAAAACAATCCAGAGATTGGTTTATTAAAGATCATAATCACACCAGAACACCTTGACAGCGGTAATGTCAGACACAGTTGTCACAAATGGCGGACGTAACCGTCGCTTTAACTCTTTAACCACTTGGTTCTCATTTCATAGGACCTTATCGTCGCTAAATCTGTGCATGAATTAGACTCTTGTTGAGACATGCATTGGTATTCCTTTGCGAATAAGGTGTCAATTTGATTGATCTAGATACTTGGCCACCCAACAGCCCCGATGCTGATGTGGTTGATTACCATACATGGTGTCGAGTCATCTCAGGGAAATGACAATCACATTCAAGCATCCAATAAACAGAATTGATGAGGTGAAACACAGAATCCCAAAGTGCTGAAATGAATTGCAACCGAAATCTGTCAATAAGGCTATTGAGTATTGATAGATGGCGCGACCGCTTGAAGCTTGTTGTTGACGTTGAGGGGAGGGCATATTGAGCAATTATTAAAATCGTTATAACGAGTAAAATGTTATCAAACAACACTGGAATTCATAAACAATAAGTTTAGTCACACAATGATGCAAATGTACAAGCATGCATTCTATAAATAAAAATGTGCACAATCCCGCAGATTTGCTATTTTCTCCCTAAAAGCTAGAAACCCTAAATAGCAACCCGGCCTCCCAAATAAGTATAATATACCTTTACTATTGATTATATGAGATAGTGTAATATACCAAGTTGTTTGAAAATGTATTACCTTAATTGAAAATGATATGTAAGTCAATGAACCATATTGAATGTAAATATTTTTATCCTAATTTGAAGTTGGGTATTGTTTTTTTGGCCCACCCTGTATAACTTTAAGGAAAATTGAGCACCTAGGAAAGTATATGAATTTTTTTATTGGAAACGCACATGTGCATATATTCTTACCGGTGCAGGTGGAGTGTGAATAGAGTATTAGGATTGGTTAGTACATACATGAATACTTTTATACACGAAGTCCAATTATAAAGTTGCAGGTTTCTATATTGCAATTCAAATATACTATTTCTCCCCTAGAGAAATGACATTGCCCAGTTCTTTGTGAAACATGATACACTGTAATGCTAATGACGCCACTCATTTACTAATATCGGCACTGCTCGGTTCATTATGAAACCATAATGCACTGTAATATAATGTTCAGTTGACCATATACCTAGAGTTACTGTGCTGATTGAAAAAGACACATACAGTATGGTACATTTGAATAATAGCTTTTGACAAATATTTCACAGTTTCAACAAGTGATCTTAATGAAAAACAGATCGATGAACTGAGAAAACAAATGCAACTATGAGAGTATTAGAACAATTCAAAAGTAATGGCGGAAACTTTTACAAAACATGATGAAATACGAATAAAAATGCTATGCTTTAATAACTCAATGTCTAATGTTCACAATTCATAGATGGCAGTCAGTGTACCGTTTCTTCAAAATCCCTGGCTCTACTCTGTGTATATGAGAAGATGTACAGCGTAAAAAGAGAAACCTTATAATTCTTTTCAATTCCCCGTAATTCAAATCTGGCGATTTCAATCAATGTTCTCACATCATCAATGTTCACAAAACATCACTCTAAGGGATGATACACTATAAATACAATGTACAAACCAACGACAAAAATCTAATACGATAAAGTTGCGATGCGTTAAACTTTTTATGACAAATTCACAAAGTATTGAAATGAGTTTTATTACACTTTTTCAATAATTTGAATCTACTTTTCTGGGTTTGCCAACAACGATGCTTTGGAATATTTGATACAACGATTGATTGATCAACAATTTGTATAGTAACAAAACAAGCAATTTTATAAAAAGCAAAATACATTAAATAATTATTAAAAATGTGCTAGCATGGAGAGTAATCAGGGGAGGCAACTTGAAATTATGAAACTAAGGAGGGTGATAAATAAAAAATAAATTTATCTGTTATAAAATCACTATATACTATATTTTGATTGGCTGGTAAGTGAGTGTTAGGTCAAGTACACCCATATTTTAGCTAAACCACTATAATCTAAAAACTAGATACATTTTATCAACAGAGTTCAACGCCCCTTTAAGATGTTTGTCTTTAAGACCTTCAAAATTGTTCGAAATAAATAGTTTCCATTTCTTTGGTGTGCATTTTTAATTCCAAGCAAAGTCAATCACAAATAAACATCGTTCGTGTACTTGTTACACGTATTACTACTATCATGTAAACAAGTTAGAAAGGCATGTTCATCAGCACGATTTTTCTGAAAATACAAATGCATTCCCATGACATGCAAAGATGTAGCTAGGTTTAACTTTACATAACTAACACGACATATCGTCATCGAAATATCTAAATTAAGATAAATACATTTTCAATAATACCATATCTCAATAATGTCTTGATTTTCAAAGACCTAAACCTCGAACTTCGGTTTTTGTCACCGAGCTTAGTTAAAGGTAAGTAACAATACCTGTATTTAGCCTGAACATAAAGGGCCGCGAGTTGTTTGTAGAGTGAATCTGGTGAGCTTTTTCATGCACTTCGCTTGTGTTCTTCATCTAAAATACATCAATATACTTTAAAACATTTTATTGACTATAAGATTGCACCATATAATCCTAAAAGATATTTCTCATTTTCAAGGAGTATCTATGCGATCAAAAGCGATCGTATTGAAAATGAGAAACATTTTTTAGGATTATATGGTGCAATCTTATAGTCAATAAAACATTTTAAAGAGGGTTGCTGTTTTTTAGATGAAAAACACAAGCGAAATGCATGAGAAAGCTCACCAAATTCATTTTACAAACAACTCGCGGTCCTTTAGGGAAATTGAAAATGTAATTTTAAATGCATAGTTGTTCGTAGTTTTGAAAGAAAATGAATTATGAGAATGCACTTTTATGTTTAGATGCAGGCAAATTAGAATAATGTTAAGAAGGAAATCGTACCTTAGCAACAGCCGCCTCCTTGAACGTGGTCGGAGATTGGTCAGATGTAAAAATAAGTATATTGTACAGTTTTGCTGTACAGGGTGTCCCGAAAATATGCCCCTCCCCCCCCTAGGCAGACCTATACCAGTGTCGTCATAGTATGTGTCATATATCATTTTAAAGCTTATCCAAAGTTGCATTGATTTGCCAAGTATAATGGTTCAACTCTCAAATGTGACAAAAATTACAGGCATTTCAAAAGTTAGTGTTTGGTCAAAATTAGGCTCAATTTTACACCAAATCACTAGTTAATGTGTCCTCCCAGGCCATCTTAACAGCAGCAATTCTTTTTGGGTCGTATGAATATTGAGTAGGAAAAAGAGTACGGTGAGGGTAGATACTCCAAGGAAACTCTTCTAAAAGTGCCTTAACAGATTTTAACAGGATTATAAAATTCCACACCCCTATTTGAAGGGCTTTCAAGGTCATATCTGAAAATAATTGCTGCTGTTAACATGGCAAAGGGGGGATACACTGACTAGTAATGTGGTGTAAAATTGAACTTTATTTTGACAAAACACTAACTTTTAAAATTACTGTAACTTTTTCCCATTTGAGAGTTAAACCATGATACTTGGCAAATCAATGTAACGTTGGATAAGCTTGAAAATGATATATGACACATAGTATGACGACACTGGTATATGTCTGCCTAGGGGGATACTTTCGGGACACCCTGTATGTTAGTTTGCATACAGTAAGCAAGTGATATACACTATATCGCATATATATCATTGGGGCCTGTGCTTATGTTACTTGCTTAAGTTACTTGCCAATTTGAGGATCGTATTATACAAACTTATCAATGTTAAAATCATCTAATCACTAATTCCGACATTAAGGGCAACAATTAAAGTTGTTAGAAACATACAGCATACATAATTAATTCAATACAGTATATAAATGATTAGACCTGGCCCAATTTTTGCACCAGACATCCATTTTGGTCCTCTTGAACAACATCAAATAATTGATGAATGCCTATAACACTGAAAAGAGGACACCGTCTGATAATTAATAAGACATACAATCATTTTCCACATAATACAGTTCGAGCATATTAAGTGAGAATATTCCTCTTGTGCATGCCAGACACATTTCAAGAAAAATGTACCGATGATGCATTTTATGTTACATATTGTGAAATACAATGACCTCGTTACTCATCGGGCCCAGTTAAAAGTAAAACTACCGAGTTGAAACTAAATGTAAACAAACCTCGAATAAAAAACCTTGATTTAGAACAAACCTACCTCACACCTACCAACTATTCAATGGTTTGCAGTCATTGCTATTTTGCAGTCCTATCAAGGAAAGAGCCCAGCGCAGCAATTCTAAACGATCTGAAAGAATACATAAGGGCACTGTTTGAAACAGATGGGCAACAACAAGTACAAGTAGTTCTCGTGTTTATCACAGTAAGTGAACTGCAATCCACCCAGACTCTAATTCTACGGCGAACGTAATAACCCGTCTTCAGTAATATAATTTCACGGCGATTTAAGTCCTGTAAAATATAGGGATACGCCGAAAAGTGAGTTTGAAGCGACTTTGAAATTTTCTGCGGTCGCCGATGGTTATTTTAGATTTCGAGGATCTACTTACAGCCACTGAATCTAAACCGTAGAGTGACCGGGGCAAGAATACATGATTTGATTAATATCGTATGTATGGTATATATGCAGGATATAGTCATCGAGGAAGAAAATGCTAACTAAGCTTATTCTCCAAGTCACCTAAACCTTAAAAGCAGTAATTAATTGTTCATAATATCATATTATCATTTCTAGTAAACATACATGCTGTATCTAACCAGCTGATTGTTGTTTTGTTAAGTTTGGACATTGGCCTCTAAAGAATAACTGACTAAGGACAAGGGTAACACTTGAAAGATTAAATACATTATATACATTATATAGACATTATATACTTTTCTCAGAGGCAGAAGACGGCAAGTGAAGTGGTGTAATTTTGTTCTAGAAATGTCGTCCGCTACTATAAAACTTGGACTCGGACGCAGTTTACTGCGTTTCGTTGCTAAGCGGGTGGATGATGGATTGCTTAAAACATCATTTGCAGCACAGCAAAAAGACACGGAGTAAGTGCAGATAGATATTTGGCACTTTTATAAACGAAACTAAAAACATCTGTTACAGAATTATTAAGAGGAAATGCAATTATTATAGCCTTTCATATCGTGAAAATCGTTCATTTTCCGAAAACCAAGGTTGACACTTTACTTTTGAATTTAACTTGAGTTATTTGACGCGGGGAATGTGATTTGTTTTTGAAAATCTAACATAGGGACTAAATGAAAAATCCTCAATTCCATAAACCCTCACCCCTTTGTGTTGTAGAGTTCAGTCTAAACGTGGCTACGCAGCACATAACAGCGATGCACCATATCATAAAGATGTTTTAGAGAGATATATGAAGAACAACCCTCAACCCAAAGACAAATCAATAGCAACATATATATGGATAGATGGCACTGGAGAGGAGCTTAGAAGCAAGGCAAAGATCGTTGAGAAAGAGATAGAACGACCAGAGGGTAACTATATTTATCTTTGCTACAGTTTGAAAATTATAGTCGTCAACGTTCTTACATGGTTTACCAAAAGGACTGATATGAAATTTCTCCTCTGGAAATTTCGAATGAAATGACAATTAAAAGCAGATTCTTGCCTAAACTTTACAGAAAAATTAGAAATGTGAACGATTGCCTTGCAAAAAATGCTTCACACAAAAATTGCCACCAGAAGAAGGAAAAGTACAGTTTTCAAAACGTTTTATATATTTTTTTAGAAATCTTTTAGAAAAAAAGATAATTCTAAAGCTAATTTACTTTTTTTTGGGGGGGGGGGGTTATATTAGTAATGTGTCTGGGAAAGATCAGAAAAATATGTCCATGAACCATTCAAAGTATTCCTTTTCTCAACTTTTCTGTCACATTTTCCATCTTAAGAGGGCTAAAATCACTTTCGCTAACTAAACCATTGAGACAGAGTCCACTCGAGACATAACTTTTGATTGACAAAATGTATTAAAAAACATAATGCTTCCTGTTTAGGCCACTGAGAACTTTACCATCACCTTAAACAAACTACTACATATGGATACACCACCTCTTAATTTACAAGGTTGCCCTTAACTCACCTTGAATTCTCTTATTGAATGACTATGTAAACAAAACACTATATTGATATTCATTTGTCAATGCAAATATCATCATGGAACTAAACCCAGTGATTATTTTAAACAAACGTCAATCAAAGGCCATTTAAATTATCTCATTAATAAGTGTACTGCTACTTTTGGTGAAAGAAATATTTTAACGATTCGAATTGGTTTTCCGAATGACAAGCAATATACAATAGTAATCGGACAGACAAATGTACATGACTGTGTATTTAAGCTGTAATATAACTACAAACCGACGTCCAAAAAGCATCATTTTTCTGGTAGAAAATATTTTATTGCAATGTTTTAAATTTACTAGTCTATTGGACCCATTGGCACAAAGTCATGACAAACTAAATCAGTAAGTCAATTTGTGCAAAACGTAAGATGTTTAACCTGAGGAAAGAATGTAATATCCAGGCCGAACGCAACAATTTAACCCTAATGTGTGCAACCTTTTTTATAACACTAAGTTTGATTTCTTTATTGCTGGTATCGTTGTAAACCTTATTCAATCACCTCTTCAGAAATGTTTTTTTAAAGTGGATCAACATGGGTCAAATCGAGGTCAACGTGACCAAGGGGGTGTATATTTTTGACATTTTGTGATAAATTGTTAATTATCTTTCATAATATTTTGGTGCCAAAAAATGCTTCGCTGCCTAAAAGAATAATCTATTATCTTTCAAATAAAACTAAACGCATGGTAAAAGCTTTTCTAGAACTTTCAAATATAGCAGGAATCGCGAAATCCCATGACGATTGACTGTTTCTTACCTTTAAAAAATCATTACATAATCAAAAATGGATCGATTTTCATGAAATAAATTATATTGGAAAGATAATTCAATATGCTAAATTATCATCTATCAAACAGAGCAGTAATTTCTTGTATTTTCTAGAGCACTAGAAACAAAGTTACAGTCAATAGTTTATGAATTTCAATTTTATTGGCGCATCAAGCCAACTATCATAAACTTTGCCCCTCTACCCACATTCACCTTGGTTTTTACGCCAAAAACGGTCTTGTTTCTGTAACGGAGACGCAACAAAATTTGCAAAAAGTACTGTACAAAAAATCGAAAGAAGGGGGGTCGGAGGGTCGGATTGACTATGTTGAAAAAATCAAATATGGAAACAGTTCATCGTGATTTTTTAAGTAGAGTGGTGATTACAAATTAACTTACGTGATTTTAAACACATTTACCTCACCAAACGTGCATTTATCCTCGTTGATTTCATTCAACATTTTAATAACCTTATACAATTTCTTTTAAATGTGAAGGTTGAACCTGATTCGGATTGTGATTTACCCTATAAGTATACACTCGTGATTTTGTAATCATTAATACCATGTTCCCGCATTTGATTAGTTAAACATTTCGACTATGAAACATTGGTGCTAAAAAGTGCTTTGATTTATTAGGTACAATAGTGATACTGGATTTTTTCTTAAGAAATACCCTGCTTTATATAGGTCCAATAATTGTGGACTATAAACTTTAGACAATTAGTTCAATATCAAAGTACTTCTATGTGCCTGATAACCATTTACATGCATTCGATTTTGGACGGTTTGACATTATGTCACCAACAATCACCAATAATCATAAAAGAAGAGGCACTCCTTTGGCGGACAATTCGTGATTGGCTAGAATGTTATCATGTACCAGATAACTCCATTGCTTTACTTCCTCGTTCCACATAATACATAATTAAATGACATTGGTTTCTCTGAGCAATATCACTATTCATTGACTATTTGTTGGATTTACACTTGTTGGATTTACACTAGCGCGCCAAGACGTCTTAGCTAAAACGTTTTAGCGTTAAAACGTTTTACAAATGTAATGTAAATCCAGATTCACTCAAGAGCTCTCGACTAAGAGCGCTTAGCTAAAACGTTTAAGGACCCTAGTCATAGCCAAGACGTCTTAGCGTTAAAACGTTTTACAAGCGAGTGTAAATCCATCGGTTTTAGCTAAGAGCTCTTAGCCCGGTTTTTTGCGTTGCGCCGAACGAAACATTTGAAACTTTCCATATACATATGTCGCATGGTCCTTTATTAGGGAGGTTAAGATTAGCGTAAAAATATACGTGTACCTATCCCTATCCGTATGTTTGTTACGTATACGTATAGGTAATGCGTATTGCAAAATGAGTTTAAGATTAACGTAAAAGGCTACGCAACCGTATGCTAAAGTTTATGATAAAATTAACATCCTAATTATAGAATGAAAACTATGCGATGGCTTATATGGCATATACCAGTACATGTCACCTCCAAGAACTGTTATATACTTCAGAGAGAGTGTGGTGTAGCGACTGTAGTTGGGAGGGGGTGTTGCTTGTGGGCCCGCTAATGGGGCAGTGACTTAACGAAATGTTAAATTTCTAGCATGATCCAGCAATGAGAGTGACCAAATAGCAAAGTTAAACAATTGAAACCACGAGAAAATGGCTGATTTCATACATTTACAATAAGCAAAACTGATGAAGAATGTGTAAATTCAACAATTCCATGCATCATCACATGGCATCGTTTATCGCATCAATGAATGTGTTCAACCACTAAATTTCTATGCAGATCGAATGAGAAATGTTTGTTGTTAGTATTTTAAAGTTTAATGGATGATATTTGATCTAGAAATGACATAATTTGTTGGATAAAAACATACGTTTTCGAATTACCTATCTTCGGCCATTTATAGGTAATTACGTATCGTAAACCCAGTGTAACTTAGGTAAAATACCGCTTAGTGTAATAACAAACTACGTATAGGTATAGGTAAATGGGTTATTTACGCTAATCTTAAACTCCCTATTTTGTCTTATCCCTTGTTCCCAATATCATCCCGAAATTATTGAGAACTTATTTGCCTGGCGATTTATCATAATCCTAATTTATGCATAAAATACTCCTGCTCTCTTTCATGCTTCTAACAATGCTGTCTTTAGGACATATTTTTCTGAAACCGATGCATTCTTAGGTACAAAGTATAGAAGCGGGAAAGGAAAAGCTATATTGACTGAACCGTCCTTCAACCAATACTGAACTGTTTTTTTCATTTTACATGTATACCTACATATCTCTAAGACGTTTTAGGAAAACAGGTGTAAACTCGATCTTATTTCCTAAGACGTCTTTTTTTATTATATTATTAACATTGAAAGACGTCTTGAAAATGGTAATGTAAACTCAACTTAATTTTCTAAAACGTTTTAGCCAAAACATCTTGGAATGCTGCGCGTGGTGTAAATAGGGCTATGTCGCATGGTCCTTTATTTTGTCTTATCCCTTGTTCCCAATATCATCCCAAAATTATTGGGAAGAACTTATTTGCCTGGCGATTTATCATAATCGTAATTTATGCATAAAATCTTCCTGCTCTCTTTCATGCTTTTAACAATGCTGTCTTTAGGACATATTTATCTGAATCCGATGCATTAATTAGTACAAAGTCGGGTTCAAAGTATAGAAGCGGGAAATTAAAGGAATATCTATATTGACTGAACCGTCCTTCAACCACACTGGTGATCCACTCGATTACGCTGGTTACCGAAACGATTCGTTTTTGTAACAAAGTGTCGGAACGTCGAAGGTACGATTTTTCTTTTTTCCTTATTTCACACGTTGTAGGCAGAATTCCCACGACATTTTTAGTATTATATGCTTAAGAAGATGTACATATTTGCGAACAAATAGTTCAGAAGACAACAGAAGCGTCGATTTAATTCTTCACTTAAGTTACATAAACGGTTTTTCGAATAACGGTTAAGATCTGCACTTTTAACCCAAACCGTTTATGTAACTTAAGTGAGGAATTAAATCGACGGATTCTGTTGTCTTCTGAGCTATTTTTTCGCAAACATGTACATTTTCTAAAATATATGATACTGATAATATACGTTTGTGAGAAAAAACGTCGTGTAGATTCTGCCTACATCGTGTGATATAAGGAAAAAAGAATAATCGTACCTTCGACGTTCCGACATTTTGTTACCCAAAACGAACCGTTTCGGTAACCAGCGTAATCGAGCGGATCACCAGTGAACTAGTACTGAACTGCTTTTTTCATTTTACATGTATTCCTACATATCAAGACGTTTTAGGAAAACATGTGTAAACTCGATCTTATTTCCTAAGACATCTTGAAAATAGTAATGTAAACTCAACCTAATTTTTCTAAAACGTTTTAGCCAAAACGTGTGGGAATTCTGCGCGTAGTGTAAATTGGGCTATTGTTTTAGCAAGATCACATTTTTGTTTTATTTGTCGTTTTCATTATCAGAAATGGGAAATATAAAACAGTATTTTTTTTAAAAGCAATCAGCATTTGTTAAAATCTGTACGCGATATCATGAACCTTTAAATAATATCTGCATGATTGTATAACTTGGCACAATAAATTGTTTAATGATGAGCTACGTATGATTGTTCATATTGTGTTTATTTTAGTGGTTTCTAATTGTAGATTGTTCAGTGTGGAATTATGATGGATCCAGTTGCTACCAGGCAGAGGGTCAGGATTCTGATATATTTCTTCATCCAGTATCAGTCTTTCAAGACCCATTCCTTAATAACAATAACAGAATAGTGCTTTGTGAAACATACAGAAGTAACGGAAAGCCTACAGGTGATCATAAGAATATTATATATTTTCATCATGCTCGACATTTTACTTAAGGGTTTTAAATTCCTCTCTTTGGTTAGGCAACACAAACTCTCACGTGAAACACGTATCATCAAAACTACATATATGTCCTTACTAGGTAATTTAGGAAAATAAAACTTTTTAGCGTACACAGGCTATTCAACGGGGTTGCCTAATCAAAAGAAAGAAATGTATGTGTGTTTACATTTTTATTAACATGACGTACATGTGAACATTAAAGCCAAATAATATTTAAGCAGGAGGACAACATTTCACCTCAAGTTTTCAATACACCTTTATCAAAAGGTAAAATAAAATGAACGTTTAGTTGTGCAGCGTTTTATGGACTCTGTAATTGTATCTGACAACACATATATTTAAATAAAACTTGTGTCCAAATATGTTTTTTCTTTAGAGGGAATTTGAAGATGTAACCATCTATTCAAGACCTCCGATGGATTTAATAGAAATGATGGGTAGTTGAGTTAGATCATAAATTTTATTTGTTTCATTTGCAGAAAGTAACAAGAGAAAGTCATGCTTGGAAGTAATGAACAAGGTCAAGGATGTACATCCCTGGTTCGGTATTGAACAGGAATACACGTTACTAGATTCAGATAACCATCCATATGGTTGGCCAAAGCATGGTTATCCAAAGCCCCAAGGTGATTTGATTTCTTCTCATACGTCCTCACTTTCAACTTTGATCGAAGATGGAACTAACATTTCACAGTTGTTAAACTAGATTTTCTGAAAAATCATTTACTACGTAGTTAGCATATGGACACGCCGGGGGACGCGACAATAAAATCTCCAGAAGCTACAACGCAGAAACCATAACTTGGGTAGCTCTGGCTTTGAATCGGAAGGTCATAGGTTGGATTCCCTTCTTTTATGTCTGCATCTGACATGTGCTTGTAAAATTACACTCTGCAAACTCATACCTTGAAGACGTATATTCGGGTCATTAAAATACAATCCTCGTTCTTGTCCTAATCTGATACATTTTTTTAGTGTTTAGTTCACCTTAAAGGCCCGGTCACACCGCCCGGACGTTGCTGGAGCGTTCCTTGAACGTTGAAAAAATTCATCAACGCTCGTCAACGCGCACAAAATGGGGGAAAAAAAAACAAAACACGGGCGTTGGCTTAGCGGTGCACCGCTGAAGCCGGCGTTGCTTTAGCGTTGGTTAAGCGGTTGCGAGCGGTAGCTAGCGTTTGTTTAGCGGTAATGCGAGCGTTGGTATAGCGGCGTACTGCGCATGAGAGCGTTGCCTCGGCGGGGGTATAAATAGCAGCAGCGTTGGTTTAGCAGCATATCGCGTTTGACTACTGAGGTGAACGGATCTATTCAGTTGAATAATTTATAGCCAAATTCTGGTCCCGCTCCGACACCTCTATACCAACGCCAAAGCAAAGTTCATCGCCGCCATGGAACGCTGCGACAACGTCCGACACCGTTCCAACAACCCCATGTACGCTGATAAAACGCTAAAAACCGCTCCACCGACGTTTGTGCAACGTTTAATCGCCGCCAGGGCAACGCTGGCGAAGCAGCGGTGGTCCAGCGTTTAAGATTTCTGCGTTAGTCTAGCGGATTCAAGCGTCCACGAACTTGCGTCTAGCGGTGCCAAACTTTGACTGGGCGTTGGTGGAGCGGTGAGAAACTTTGCCAGGGCGTAAAATTGTCCCTTTTTCAACGCTCGCAATATTTTGAGCAGCTCAAAACCTTGGAGCGTTAGGATGGCCACTCGAGAAACATCCGCGTTGGCCGAGCGTTTACAGCGTTGCTTTAACGGATGCCAACTTTTGTTAAACGGTGGTGAACGTTTACGAGCGTTGATGATTTTTTTCAACGTTCAAGGAACGCTCCAGCAACGTTTAGGCGGTGTGACCGGGCCTTTAGTGAACAACGTGTCAAAGCAGTTCAAGCGCTCAGTATTCACTCTACTATACCTAACACCTAGAAATGCATAAGATACTTTGTTTGTCTAATTGTATTGTTTTTGTTTAGTATATTTTTGAAAGTGCCTTAGTAACATCTAACATTCAACCAATAAACCATTAATAAGGAACAGACAAATAAAAACAAATATATTATCATTACTAATAAGCCAAATGGGTTGCTCATGAACACCAGATGCAAGGTATAGTAGAGTGTATTGGTACACGTAAGAGTAACGTGCACCACTGTGGTATCAATTATAAAGCAGCATGTCGCATTGACTCATTGTATCCTTAGGTCCGTATTACTGTGGCGTGGGAACCAATAGGATCTTCGGTCGAGCCATAGCTGAAGCACATCTGTTTGCCTGTCTTACAGCTGGTGTCGCAAATACGGGGACTAACGCCGAAGTCATGCCTGGACAGGTATTATGTTTATGTTTCTGTATCTTTATTTCCACCTATGCAGATGAGTACATAATAATTATAAAGTTAATGTGGCAATATTAAAAATATAAAAATAAAAATATATATATTTACAACGCAAACTGTGTTGATTTAATAGTTTATAGAGCTATAGCTGCAGCTCTTGTTTTTAACATTGTGTTTGACACTTAACATTATCTTCACATACATTCTGTAGTCTAATGCTTCATTTTTTCCAAGTAGGACCTCCATTTTTTCAACCATATTATATCCATCAAATATTCTGTCACTTAAAACTGCCAACAAGTCACTCCTACTTTCATGAAGTTCAAGGCAATCTAAGAGAAAATGCCTTGTCGTTTCATTTGTCATCCCACACAGAGGACAAATAGTGTCATAGTTGAGTGGGAAAGGTATTGATGTTAACATATATTCTATAAACTTATGCTGAACGCTACTTCCAAACTCCGCAGAGTGTTTTTGAAATATGCCTCAATATTATGATAACCATTTATCAGTCTCCATGGCATTGGACTGATATGGCAAAACATGATGTCTAGGAAGCACAAGGATACAAAAATAACATCAACTATTTCAGTGGGAGTACCAAGTAGGACCCGTTGAAGGAATTGACATGGGTGATCAACTGTGGGTTTCAAGGTATCTTTTGCACCGTGTAGCTGAGGATTTTGGAATTATCGTTACTCTTGATCCTAAGCCAGAGGACGGCGACTGGAACGGGGCAGGTGCTCACTGCAATTTCAGTACAGATGGAATGAGAGCAGAAGGCGGAATAAAGTAGGACATTTAAATATAAAATTCTCTGAGATGTGTATGTATCTAAGAACCTAGCTTTCTTTCAAAATCAAGTTGCTCAGAGCCTGTTTTAACTTTGAGAACTTCACATGTTTCAAACTTACGTACTCCTCCATGTTGGTTAATCTTTTCTTCAGATACATTAACGACGCCATTGAAAAACTTGCCAAGCGACATATTGAGCACATAAAGATGTACGATCCTAGGGGAGGGAAAGATAACATTCGGCGTCTCACGGGACTTCACGAGACGTCAAGTCCTACAACCTTCTCTGCCGGACTAGCCAACCGAGGTGCAAGCGTCCGTATACCGAGACAAGTTGGTGTCGATAAAAAGGGCTACCTGGAGGACAGACGTCCTTCATCAAATTGTGATCCCTATTCTGTAACCGAAATAATGATCCGCACATGTTGCTTGAACGAGTAAAGATTATAGGCAAACCCCCAAATCGTTATATGATGACAATACCTGTGAAATATCGCCTGGAAAATGACTGATCGATGAATCAATTTAACAACAGTGCTATTGTACGATATCAAAAAATCAAGAATTTTAAGTCTAGGTAACATGTAAATGGAAAATCATTATGATTTTGGGAGAAGTGAATACGTACTTTTACAAACAAGAGTGTCCATTGCTGACATATTTATACGATTTATAACAAATTACAATATCTTAATTCAATACTCTTGGTTGATATTATGACATATAGATACGTGAAATGAACATTTTAGAATGCACTTGTAACAAACTCTTTTAGTAATGTTATATTTAAGGAATAAATAATCTTCGGTTCGTGCTTTGTACAACATTCTGTCCAACTCGTGCTGAATTTCACCATATTGAATGGCCTATCATTATTTATTCCGATTCAAACATAAAAATTAGTAAAAGGCGTGTCTGTGGAACGGGCATGAAGGAAGAATGCTGTCAAGATTCTGAAGTCGGCCGGAAAAATGTTAGAATTTGTTTGGGCTGTTCTATTTTACTCCCCGTTTTAGATTTTATACTTAAATAAGACTAGTTCACCGACTGCAAACTTGAAGTCAGCCATAGTTAAATAGTTACAGTAGTTACGGAGGGAGTAAAAAAGAACAGCTATCCCCGGACAGAGCCCCAGATGTGCAGCTGAGATGTGACGTCACTCAAAACAATGCAAATTGCAGATTGAATAGAGCATGGTCGTGCATCTATGGAGAATTAGAGAACGTTCTATATTGGCTATGCTGCATTCTGATTGGTTGAGAAATTCGAATAGAGCACGGTCATGTTTGAATTGGTAATATTTATGAATACTATGCAATAGTATATTTTATGTATTGTAAAGTTTGTTTTGTAAAAATAATTTGTTGATGCGCAACAACTTCAACCATAACGTACACACATGCTCTGCATTCAAATGGACCATTTGGACTTTGGATATTGTGCAATTAAAATGTATGCATATGATGCTTATGATAATTATGTGCAGTATAGACTCTATGAAATACATTTTCTAACATTTAACACAATATTTCTTTTATCCCGAAAGCAATTTAAAAAACACATGATAATTACGTGCAGTATAGACTATATTATATGAAATATATTTTCTAACATTTATCACAGTATTGGTTTGTTTTATCCTGAGAGCAATTCAAAGAGTCGTATAAACACTTGAACTGCTTGAGGAGAATTGTATTTTTTCACACGATCGTATACTAAGTTCAAATAGCATATATTACAACTAAACAGTATTTTAGAGAACATGTCCATTTGATCAGCTTGTTGATAAACTGCATACAGATACAAAGACGATATAATTTGCATCGTTGTTTTACTGATCCATGGCCGAAGCTATAGAAGTTACCACATTAAGGGATGAAAAGGAGGGCGATCTGTTCCTTGAGATAGTAGCTTCAGAAGAAACATTACAGAATTTAGGGGAATTCACGTCATATTTACTTAAGGTGGGTTTCAATTTCTTGACACGTATGCACTAAACTACATTTTTTAATTGTATGGTCTTTATAGATGAGTAGGGATTTGCAAAAAAGTCTTAATTTAAAGAAAAAAAGGATCGACTGACCCTGTTAGGTTTCTTGGTATTTTTGGAAAGCTTATTACCTCTACTGCATCTTCCATATATTTAGAACTTCTGGCCATGGTCCCGTTGCTATGGAAACGGACGCTGAATAAAACACTTGATGTTAACAATATCTAGATCACCCATAAAATTGTTTCTCTCACAACTTTAACATTTATTATCCGTTTTGAGTCATATTGGTACCAAATGAAAACTTATTAAATGCTTTTTCACCAAAAATGTAATTTATGCAAATTAGCCCATTTGCATATCCATTGTGACGTCATAATTGCAATTTTTTCCTAATATTATGTGCAAGTTATTAGATAACATGTTACAAATACCCCCCTTGAATTAAATATATGCCGTAAAAATGAAATATCTTCAAATAGGATAAATGTAGGACACACATGCTTTATTTTGATATATAGAACATATCTCAATTAGACTGGGAGCCATATGCCACACCCTCTTAAATAGGTACATGACTGAAAACATAAAGCAAAATGTAGACATGTTTCATGGTATTTTACAAAAATGAGCTAGCTGCATATAAATTATGGGGGATTGAGATGGAAAACACTCTGATATTAGCAGGTTAACACCAGACCCTACTGGACCTCTTGGTATCTTTAGAAAGCTAAGTATCTCTACAACATCTTCCACATAATGAGAAGTTCTGAAAATGTTCACGTTACCATGGAAACTGACGTTAAAAGCTATTAACAATACCTAGATTTTTAATAAAAATGTTTCTCTCATAACTTTCCCATTTATTATCCATTTTGAGTAAAATTGGTATCAAATGAAAATTTATTAAATGCTCTTTCGAAAACAGTGCAAATTATGCAAAGTAGCTCATTACGTTCATCTCCGATGATTAATAACCAATCGTTTATTATTGATTTTTAATTGTAGAGCATTTATATAATGGAATCTTTCCCATTTTATTCCATTAGGTGTTGAAACAGATACCAATTGTCCATAAAACAGTGGCAGACACGGCTCAAGATACAGGTATAGCGATGGAGGAAATGGAGTGTGATATGATGCTTTTGATTCAGTCAATACCTAAAGATACATGGCTCTCCATAGGCAACAATGCCGATTCCACGACAGCTATTAACTCTTCGGTTAAGAGAGTATTCATCCAGCCAGGTTTTGTTAAACTTATAATGCAAAATATCTGGTCGCGTGCGTTTGTGACTGACCAATTACTGTTGAATGGATGTACACTTTTAGCGTCCTACATCACTATAGTTTCTGATAAAAATTATGTGACAGAGAAATGGTGCATGAAGACACAATGAAGACTTTTGAAGAATCGGTCAAGGAAAACATTATACAATGTAGCATAACATGTATCTTCCAAACACCGATGTATGGATACAAATTCATCTTCAGTATACAGTACTATACTATTATACCCTCTATTCTATATAAGCCAGATTGTTGTTATATTGTATCAACAGTTTGGCTAATCGATATGCAGTATGGGGGGAAATGTCATTACAGCCGTGGTAAACGTCTTTGGAGGAACGTCAGTACAAGTGACCTGGCCAACACCTCTTCCAAACAACTCTGAAAATAACTCAACACGATATGAGAACGTATCCCCGCTGGTGCTGAGCTCCACGTTTCCAATTGGACACTTTGATTTATATGATATAACTAAAGGGTCCGAATGGTCATCACAATTGATGACATAGTCGCCGTATACCACAGACCAGCCTGGTTTTAAGATACCTTTGAATCGCCCTGCACATGTAAACGGCTTGATGGCAGTCACTGACCACCCAGCATCTGATATATAGGCTTCCTTATACCGTTTACTACCATCAGCCGAGATAGCGACGTCCAAGCGTAGTTTCCCTCTTTTAGGTAGAATCCCTGGAGCGAAAATCAGTCCCTGGGCTTCATCTGTTACAGGCTCTCCCGCAATAACCTTTGCGTCGGATACATTATCGACATCTATTCCAAACTGAATGTTAAAGAATTCGAGTGCATATTTTGCCATTGCCAACATCTCCGATTGTTTCCTCCCTGCGTTGACATGGTGATTCATAAATGTTTGCGGCCATGGGGACGGTTGGTAATCACTTGAAAAATCACCATCTGCAATTGCGACAAGCATGTGATCATAATCCATGGTGAAAACATTAGCAGTAACTTACAGGTTCTCGAAATATGTATTAAATCTATTTTGACATTTATAAGTGGTGTGGAGAATACAGAACTAAGTAGGATATCACGTTTATAGCATGATTATATTTAATCAATCATTGGGATACACCCGTGTTGAATGACCTCGTTCAATATTGAGTAGATTCGATTGTTTCAAGTATCACTTATTTAAACAACAAATAAATTGACAGTGAAGTTGTCAAAAATCATAGCCGATATAGTTTTTATTAACGACATTTGCGTTCAAACATTACAGGGAACTAAAGATCGAGTCGTTATTAATGTAATCTAGGTATTTAGACTAAAGACATGTGATCAAACTATCTGCTTTGTATCTTTGAATAGATCGAAGAGTTCAGACAGTTTTTCATAGATATTTTATCAGGCTGAAATCAATCCTTAGTAAATACCACATGACGAGGAAGACCCGAGACAGGTACCTACCTCTAAATTTACTTTTCCATTTTGAACTTTTCTACCGGTGTAACATCATGCATCTCTTTTTCCGAGCCCAGCTTTCCAGGTTTTGATCGTTTGATCACTCCCATAAGGGAAACCAAAACATTAATGAGAAACTCTATTATTTCTATGACACTAAGAATTGAGATACCAATCCACAGTCCAAGCTGTCCACCAAGGTCTCCAATCAAGGACAGCCACTGAAAGAAAAACACTTACGATTATGCTAAAAGTAAAAATAAATATTGATAAACAATCAAATAAATCTTTTTTTTTTTAATATTCATTATTTATTTCTCACACTATAAATTTACATACATGTGCATACATTGGTGATAGTAAAGACAATATGATAATATAGAGTTAAGGCACATAACAGTTACATGATCTCATTTCGAATAAAAAGCAATAAAGATACACAGTACAGACAGCAAAAATAATAAAATACAGGTTTGTGCAACGATACATTGTTGTAATTAAAATGGTATGTCTAATTTATTCAGTATTGAGTTCCATTTCCCGATAAAAAGTTGCCGGTTTTTGTTTTCTGTAGATATTTTTAATTCATCTTTAATTTTGTTTCTTAAAGTATTTTTAAAACCGTTCACGCTAATGTCGTAGTTTCCCATTTTGGAGCTGTGAATGTAGTTTTTCGCGTATAGCAAACAATAATTTAGAATTGTATCGCGATCGTCGCGGTTGCCTATTTTTCCTAATAATATATCCCGGTCTCTCAAAAGTATATTGTCAAATAGGACAGATATTTCATTCCAAAAGTTCGCGACTGTCGCGCATTCTATATAGAAGTGTTGGGTGTCTTCTACTGCACCACTATTGCATTTATCACATAGATTAGACTCTTTAATTTTTCCGTTGAACAGAAATAAGTTACAAGGGGTGAGGTTAAGTAGTAGTTTGTATTGGAAACTTTGGATCTTTGGCTCTCGCGCAACTTGAAAAGGTAGTCTAAAAATAGATTTCCACTCTTGTTCTGTCAGGTCAAATTTTTCATTGAAATATCGTTTTCCTACGGGTTCCTTAAATTTGTTTTGTACGATGTGCCAATATATTCTTTTGGTACTAATATGTTTGATATTTATAATTGAATTTTTGATTTGTAAGTCATCAACTCCTAGTGTGTTGATATTATCATTTTCGTTTTTTAAGAGAGTTTTCCACGAGCGTGGAATTGCGTGTATTATGCCGTAGTATGTTACGAAGGGTGTCAAGATGTCATATTTTAGGGTGAATTCTTCGTATCCTAGAAAATCTCCATTTTCATTTATTAAATCTTTTACTTTAAATATGTTTCGAGCTTTCCAATCAGGGTAGTTGACACTTTCATTATTAATTGTTAACCATTTATTGTTCCAAATTGATTCATTCATAACGGTGGACTTGTCATAAGGTTCGGCATTGTGAATTAAGCTCCAGGTTTTCATCATCGAGAAATAAAAAGCAGGTAAGTTGTTAAAAGTATGCTCTTTGAACTTTGCATGAAAGATTTCTTTAGATTCGAGATTTGGGAATTCTTTATAGAAAAAATGTTTCCATTTAGACTCGTTTTTATTATACAGACGTTTCACCCACAATCAAATAAATCGATGTTTTATTTAATACGCAATGCATTGTTAGCGCTAATGATGACAGTTACTACAGTCGGGGAATGATCAGAGTAAAATACTGAATTCATTTTTAGTATGAAGATTAATACATTACCGTATAGGCTGCTTCTTGGTAAATTCGCTCATTGTTTAATTCTTGATAGAATATGTCAACTTTTAAAATATGATTTCTAAAATAAAGATAAACAAATGCCTGATATTATTTAAAGGTGCAACATCAAAAAGGAGTGGTATAGATATGGTGAACTTTTTGAACACACGTTTCTTTTAAACCAGTCATAAAAATCTAAAAAATTTACACATCGTCTATTTAATGGTCATCTTTTGAATGGTAACAATATAATTTGAAAAATATAAATATACTTTCATCTATATTGTTTTAGAAAACACATCAAACACTTGTTTTGTTCTTTGTATTATGTTTCCAGAGTGAAATGAAACATCTTTCCGAACCTCATTGGAACAAAACGACATAAACACAACATGTCATGTTCGGGTCTCTCAATATTGTAATTGTACAAAGCAAATTTTGATTGATTTAAAAAAAGTATCTTGTTATTGAAATAAAAGGTTTACCTTGATTTTTATCTATTTTGGGAGATTTAGTTTTAATTTTTTGAATACTTTAAAAATTCCTTTGTATAACTATAATATTGAGAGGTCTAAAAACATGTTGTATATGCTATTTTGTTCCAACCAGGTTCGGAAAGACATTTTATTTCATTCTCAAGAATTGGTAGAAAGGAGCAAAAACAATTGCACTAAAAAACAAAAACTGTTAACAAAAGAAAAGTTATACAAAATATTTCTAAATAATTTTCGCATTAATTTGTTGTCAATCAGTCAACATTACATAAAATACCTTGTTTTTTACAGAATGTTTTCAATGATTGGTTTAACAGAAAAGTATTGTTGAATTCAGTTCTCCATATCGATACCACTCCTTTATGGCCTAGTCACATAGCCCGGCCGATGAGGTTACGATGAGCCAGCGATGCAATTTTCACCGAACTCGGCCGAACACCGGCCGGACACCGGCCGGACATCCGTGGCGTTTGTTGCTTAAAACCGCATCGGTGGTAGCTCGGTGAAATTTTAACTTCGGAGTTAAATTTCACCGGGCTCTCACCGAGCTCCCTCATCATGTCATCGCAGCCCCATCGTAACCACATCGGAAAACACGTCGGCCGGTGCACGGCCGCGTATCGGCCGGTGTCACGTGCATCTGAGACAACCAGAGGACGAGGTTTTTTAACGGACAGCGCCCGAGCTCCGACCGAGCTCCGGCCGATGTGGGACAGAGCATCGGCCGGTCACTGTTCAAAGCCCGTTAACAACCCGGCCGGCGATCGCACGGTGTCCTGTTACCTGCTCGGGTACCAGCCGTATTCCTTCCGATGTCCGGCCGACCTCCGGCCGACCTCCGGCCGGTAGTTGCTGCCACATCGGCAGAAAAAAACTACCATTTTGAGACAGACTCCGTACGGTCAACGGCCGGTGTTCGGTCGGTCGCCTGAAGATGTCCGGACGGAGTCCGTTCACGTCACCGAGCTCTGCTTCCGATGAGGAGAGCTCGGTGGCACCAAAAAAATCCACCGAGCTCTACCGATTCCGGACATCGGCCGGGCTATGTGACTAGGCCATTAGATATTTAACAAAATGCATGCTTCTCTTAGCTTAGCTCTTGCTCGGGGTGTTCCCGAATAATTTAGAAAGTATGAGATATGTTTACATATCCTTAAAATGTCTGTGTTTCATTGTGTTTACCGGTTCATGTTATGTTGACAAAATCATCAGCATTCTGAAAAAGCCAAATGTTGAGTATATGATGTTTGGAATAATGACTGTCTTATTGTGCGTGGTTGTATCAACGATGTTATTGTTGCTATTGTACTAACCTAAGAGATGATGTTTTGTTTTCCAGAATATTTATGACTTTTGGGGTGACATGACTAGCGTATTTTTCTTCTAAAATATCCTACAAACAAACAAAGGTTTAATAGATAGCTTATCATATACAGTGATAATTCATATATTTGCCAAAAGTACTCTGGTCCCCGAACAAATACGACGCTTATATTAGGTAAACATGTTCAAGTGTTACGCCTATTATATCTCCTAATTTAAAAAATGTTTCAACTCTAGTGTATGTTTTGTGACACACAAAACATGTTAAACAATCAAGACCATAGCTTTAATTTTCAGCGTAACTGACATGACGACATTCTGCCTCCTCAATGTACGAACGTTTCCGTCCAAAGCATATATTTATATTCGGGATACTGAGTATTTAGTTGGGGAGATAATGAGTATTTATTGACTGACACAATTATCGATTTAGGTTAATGGATACTTGGTTAATACTTTAAAAAATAATCTAGTTTGTAATTTGCCTGTACAAGCAGAAGATTACAATAATAATATCAAGTAATGAATAAATAATAATAGTACTCCCAAGTCACTGTTCCACAGCTGGATGACTCTAACTGCAGTTAACTTCATTCAAGATGGTTGCCGAGATTCTTTCGTTTTCGATAAACCTCCGATTTCGGCTAAATTAAGTTGAATCTGGATTCCAAATGTTTCTCCATGCAAATTAATAAAGCTACGGTGGTAAATAACCACAAATAAATGCTCAAACAACCGTGATATTGGAGAATTTTAAAGAAAATGGCTTCACTGAGAACGACTCTAACCGAAGTTGATGACGACAGAATGATGACGTAGATCATCAACTTCAGTTAGAGTCATTCTTAGTGAAGCCGTTTTCTTAAAATTCTCTAATATTGCGGGTGTTTGGGAATTCATTTGTGGTTGAACACAATCGTAGTTTTATTAATTTGCATGGCGAAACTTACGGAATCAAGATTCAACTTAGTTTCGATCGGAGGTTTATCGAAAACGAAAGAATCTCGGCAACCATCTTGAATGAAGCTAACTGCAGTTAGAGTCATCCAGCTGTGGAACAGTGTAAGTGAAATGGTTTCAACGAACGAAGAACAATACAATCATTAAATTCGATGCAATGAAACGTTTAACCAGAATAAATGACATTTATTGACTGTATTGTAAGGTTATTATCTCGCTGGACATACATATTTTATGACCATATCTTAACCTACATTTATAATCTACATTAATTTTTGCCTATTTAGATTTTGATTTGTCATTTTGTGTTTCGTGATTCTTTTATAATATAATATTCCAAGTATTGTCTTGGTAAACCGTGCGAAATATGTTGGATATTGTTTCTTAGCTGCTATTCTCAAAATACCATTTAAGGATACTAAATATACCATATCAAGACACATGTTTTATTAAATTGCTGTAAAATCTCATGATTACATCAACCAATCATCGGGGTACTCGTATCTAAATATACACATATGAAAAGTATTTAAACCATATTAAATAACGTGTTAATACGTTATATAGTAAAATCAAGATAAAATTACTACCTCGTAACCGGAAGTTGGCCATACTGACGTCGATATTCTAGAATCAAACTTTGTTTCTCTGGAAAAGAGACAAGTGCATTAGTGATTCATAAATTTTCTCCGTTTTCGAATTTGACTAAAAGTTTTCATTGAAATAATACTTTGCGATATAAAAGGTCATTCCAAAGTCAATTTAAGTTGTTCATTGTAACATATTCATATATTGTTCTACCGCTGCTGTCAAAGATGTATTAATGAAACTATTTATCATTACATGGATATAATTTGTATGTGTGATTTTAGAGTTAAAAACGAAAATATTGAACGTTCAAAACCCTGAATAATATTTGAAGTCATTAAGATGTTATAGAAGCATGTTTAGCCTTACTTGCACGATGGAGAGCAGTTCGATTTCAGTACCCCTATGTTAAATTTGTATTCTGTTTCTTCCAAACAGTCCTCTACAAGAATACACATATATTTAAAAACAACAGCCCATCGATAACTGATCCCTGAACTACACCGGTGGTATTATGTAATATAAACGTACCATTCATGTGTAAGGTAGCAACAGATCTCATAGAGACGCTTTTAAGTACGTTATGACACAGAAATTAGTCCATGAACTCGCATCTTGAGCTTATGCATCTGATGAATTATGCCTACCCTGAGTCTCATTGTGAATGTCACATGATGCTAATGTGTTCTCTCCTGGTAGACCAGCAGTTGGAATATAAGGACTTGTACATTGGCATATCTCCATGACGTGTTTCTGAAGCCACGTATGAATACACACCTAAAAATGATCACAATTTATACTTTGAAAGTTGAAATTACTACAATTTATACTTTCCAAATGATTTTTCTTATTTAAACTCCCTTGACTATTATAATTATGGAAATTGTTGAAATTATCAAATGATGACAATAACCCAATCTAATACGCGAGTGATACGTAGTATACTTTTCGGCGAGTCATTAGGAACAAACTTGTCATTTGTGACGTCAAATAAAAAAAATAGTATCATCATGTAGCAAGGAGGATTGGCAGCAATTAACGACTTCTAATCATCCTTGCTCATGTAGATTGAACTATTTAAAACGACCACCAATTGCGCAAATTCGGTCTTACCGATATACTGTACGAACAGTTTGCTATGTCCTGATACACATTGAATTCTTCAGAACATGGAGCTATGCAGCCATACCAAGGTTCCCCGAGTCGCTCATATTCAATCTGAATAATATGATATCGTAAATTAGGGAACAAACTCCTAGTATACATATACGAGTATATATCATATAAACACATGGTGTCAATTGGAACTAGGAGAGATGGCACACCTTTTTCAAAGCAACACTCGTGTCAAATCCTGGTGAGACGAAGAATCCGTTTTCAGTTGGAAAGGGCACATCATGTTGGTCATGTATCACTACGCGGATCCCGAGTGATGGGGTTAATTCCGGTATGTATTCATCATCTTCAAGAAACAGTTCCAGGTGCAATCCTTGAATACACACAATAAATCAACATATAAACCGTTTGACATACAATTGAATGGTGGGAACAATTTGAGAATTATCTCCAATCAATGAGATATTTTCATGTCAGTGTACTGAAATGTGATATCAATGACATTGTGTGGAGAATGTTTTTGAAATAGATTGAATTGTGGGAGAAGAAACCATTTGCTGAAAAAAATTGATTCCCATTTTCCACCTAGCTATTAAGTTCTTAGTACGAAATCGTCTTCATAAAACTATTTTAAATATTCACTTAGTCCATAGGAACATATTTGCACTTACGAAAACCTGTAATTGAACAGATGTCCGTATTCCCATGCACTGGCTACTGATTGTTCAACCGTCGAAATGAAATGTTAAAATTACTTAGCAGGCAACACTCGAGAACATATTAAAGTGAATAGACTTATTAAATCGATCATTACTGACCATGTTCTTTCCCTGGTTTTGTCGTATTGCGAATAGAATCGGTGGCATCGTCGTCGATTCCGTTGAATGTATAACAATTCCCATATTCAAACACATCGTAAAACCGTTTAAAATCTCTGAAAAGTTATTTTGCAAACATTCTATAACAATTATTATTTCGTCAATAATCGGTAAGCAAATGGGGTTTCGAAGTATAAAAATGTTGTGACTAAAGTTGTTCATGAAATTTTTCAAAGGCTCGATGACAAGTTACAATTTGTAACATACTGTGCTAATCAAGAGTATAAATCACTGGAAATGTTATTGTTTTGGCCTATTCCTCAGAATAAAATGAGACTTGTGATAACAATTGAAGAATATACCTTGGTGAGCAGAATGCTTTTTCGAATGAACAATCTAGTAGCATTCCCTCAAGTGTGTGTCCCATTGGTTCTTTCTCTGAGATATGCATTGCTTTCAAGGCGTCGTTCAGTCTATCATTCACTTCAACACTGGTTGCCGGAGATATCCCAGTTTTGTCCGACTCGAGACGAGCCCAGAGACAAGACGTTATCTCGTCATAAGTAGGGGAACCCTAATATGCATATATGGATTTGATGATTAGCATACAGTAAACTGGCGTGAAAATATAGAAAATGTAATATTTCTCAGACCCCACTTTGATGCCCTATAATAAATCATTTGGTGTCTGAACTTTATAAGCTAAGGCCTTTTACTATTTATTACACACGATTTCATCCATAATATATGGAACATATGTATGATGATACTATTATTCTAGTTATGGAGCAATCTTAGAATTTACTTTTAAGGTAAACTATTAGATTAATCTATCCTGTTGTTGTCGGTACTTGATCAGCGAATGGTAACATTTTATATATAAATACTAATAATACTTTTGAAATGTAATGACTTCAGCTTCATTACTTACTGCAAAATACATAGAGTTCATTATGCTGTCTTCTGCAGAAATGAAATGCAATGAGCTTCATTACTTACTGCAAAACACGTAGAGTTCACTGTGTTGTGTTCTACAGAAATGAAATATGATGAGCTTCATTACGTATTGCAAAACACATAGAGTTCATTGTGTTGTGTTCTGCAGAAATGAGATGTAATGAGCTTCATTACTTACTGCAAAACACGAAGAGTTCATTGTGTTGTGTTCTACAGAAATGAAATCCAATGAGCTTCATTACTTACTGCAAAACAGGTAGAGTTCATTATGTTATGTTCCACAGATCTGTTATAATAATGTTGCTGATGCTCCAAGATAGCAGCTTTAAGATTCTGCGCAGCAGGACTCGAAGACGCATACACGTGGCTCTTCCTGGAAAAAATATACGTGATAATACTATTAATTAGCATTTTGTCTCAAGACATATGGTCTAAGTCACCGAACCCAAAACTAGGATTAATGTCATGCATTAAAAGTGTAATTTTTTGTTTTGTAAACAATGTTTGTGCGTGACAACTTGAAAATGTACACATAAAATACACTTTAGCTATTCTATCTCTAACAACAGACGAATAGTAATTGTGTTTTGACCTAGATTCAGTGAAATCTATATGAGTACTCATGCATTATATACTCATCTAGTGATATACATGTATTTCACTCAATTAAAAGAATCATACGGTTCTCTCATTTTCAACGTTATGATGGCGTGGAAAATGAACTACCATTCCCTGTCATATATTATTTATTGCTTTACCAATTAGTTTGAATAATTTAGTGTTGATTATTATACTTATACGCTTAGGTAGGAATGTGAACAACGAAATCTATTAATTAAGTGCTGTTTCTTATATACCCCTTCCAATAGTTTAATTTTGCTTCGTGAATGAGAACTTCGTATACCAAATGTAATGTCTAGGTCCTGTCACTCAGTGTTTGTTTTAGTAAAAGCCTTAACACTAACCCTAATGTCTGCAACCTTTTTTATAACACTAAGTCGCACGGAGGGGGTCATTTTGGACCCCTCCCCCTTCTATGCAATTTTTAGTACTTGCCTTGGTATTGTTATATTGTTGTAAATTGTTGTTATTGTTGTAAACCTAGAGGTCAATATAGGTCAAGTCGAGGTCAACGTGACCTAGGGGTGTACATTCTTGACATTTTGTGATAAATTGTCAATTTTCTTTCACAAAAATGCTTCGCTGCATTGAATAGAATAATCTATTGTCTTTCAAATAAAACTAAAATCATGGCAAACGCTTTTCTGAAACTGAAGTTTGAAAGATAGCAGATCGCGAAATCCCATTGAAATCAATGAAACTGAATAGTGAGTAATTTCAAATTCAACTTGTTTTTGTCTTTAGCATTTCAAGATGTACAAAAATGCCAATCAGTGGTTTAGTATGCAGATGTATGAATGTATGACTTGGTATTGTTTCAATATAATTTCGGTCCATGGTGTTGCCCAGCAACCATCTAGCAACGGCACACACATCGAAATAGTGAAAATTGGATGTAGGAGGAATAAAAAAATCATATCTAAAATTTTGAAGAAGGTATCATTTTAATTCTGATACCAGAGTGTGCATAAACATTAAGAAATATGCAAAAAGTCAAAGGTATTCATAGTGTCGTTTTTAAGAAAAATCAGCTTTTCTCTCAAATTCGTGAAAAGAACGCGTTTCGAGACTACTTGGTAATTCTCAGTTTTTACCTTTAAATATTCACAACACAGTCAAAAGTGGGTCGATTTTCATGAAATTAAGCATAAAAAGAGAATTCAATATGTTTAATCATAGACAATAGGTCAATCATAGACAATTGTGAATTTATTGATTCCGTTCCAAATGGTGCCTCAATGAATAATTTTGAAAATAAAATATTCAATCCACTTGATATGAAAGTTGACGATCCTGATGCCCCAGACTTTGATCAAACTACCAAAGACTTGATGGCAAAAAATGAATATGAAACATTTTCTAATTTCAACGACAATCTCAATTCTAAGAATAATATAGATATGTCAATCATACATTGTAACATTCGCAGTTTGCCATCAAATCATTGGAAGTTGACAAATCTTTTGCCATCAATCGACAAGAGAATCTCTATTATTGCACTATCCGAAACATGGTTATACAAAGATGAAGAGTCTAAGTTTTCTCAGTTTATGAATTCCAAACGATATTTTAAATCTCATACTACCAGGGGTGGAGGGGCTGGTCTCTCTATTCATACTAGTTCACATAAAACTAAAGAAAGAACTGACCTTATATTCAATAATAAAAACTGTGATGTCATAACTATAGAAATTATTGTAGAGCATGGGAAGAATATTTTAGTATTTACAAACCAACTAATGTCGATGTTGACGAATTCAACAATGATATTGATGTTTATTTGTCGCATATTCCATGAGAAATAACAAATAAAATTACATTGCTGGAGATTTTAACATTGATCTCTTTAAATCATTTGAACATGATCTTACAGAAAGTTTCTATAACACAATAACTGCGTATAACCTCTTGCCCGTGATTTATAAAGCAACTGGAGTAACTTCAACATGTGCTACTTCAAAAGATATTTTCACTAACGATCCCAAAATTGACTTTTGTGGTACTATATCATCTATAATGATATTTTGGGTCACTTTCCAATTTTTGCTATTTCTGATGAACCTATCAACAAAACTAAGTTCATAAAAAATCGATTAGAAGATACAAAAAAGAAAATATTCTAAAGTTCAAAGAAATAACTTCACATGAAACTTGGGGTAATATATTACTGAACTCACTGATACAAACGAATCTCATGATAAATTTAAGAATAAGTTGTCAAGTATCTATAATGAATGTTTCCCATTAAAACAATTAAATTATATAACAATAACCAGAAGCCATGAATAACAGTGGCAATACTTAAATCAATTAGAAATAAAAGCAAGCTCTATAAAATTATCTTAGAAATCCAAATGATCAAAACAAAAACCGATACAAATCTTTTGCAAATCGGTTAAAAACCATCATAAAATTGTCTGAAAACAGTATTATAATAACACATTTGAACATAATCAGGACAATATTAAGGCAAATTGGCAAATAATTAGAGGTTATGTCACTATCGTGGCATATATGCCCGAGGTCTCAGTGATATATGTCCCGACCTTGGGAGGGACATTGATCTCTGAGAACCGAGGGCATATGTGCCACGATAGTGACATAAACGATTTATAACATACCTATGATGATGTAGACTGGTCAGAGAGTACCGTTTTCTTATAGAATTGACAAACAAATGGTTTGAAAATGATTGAAATGAGTTTAGAAAAATTGCTCGCGCAGTTTTATCTTCGATTGATTGGTTATGACGTCAGCGCCTTGACCAATCAGAAAGTTAGCAGGCGCGGGCTTCTCAAAACTTATATTGGCCCGCTGTCTTGTGTACACTTTGCACTATACATCATCATAGGTATGTTATAATAAATGATATACTTCAAAGGAAAAATAAAAATAACAATATTTCAGATATTTTCCTTCAAAATAATGTTGAAATAACAGATATACAGGAAATAGCTAATCAATTTAATAATTTCTTTGTAAAAGTTGATGAAGAACTAGCAGCAAAAATACCAAAAATCAAATAAAAACTCTTTGGACTTTATGCAAACAATAGGGAGACAAGCCGCCACTCTTCGATCCAGTTGAAGTCAATGAATTGAATAAAATAATACCACATTTAAAACCTTCTGCAGCGGGACACGGTGACCTTAAACCTTTTATCATTAAAGAATGCAGATCATTACTTCACCGTCCCCTCTTTTACATATTTTCATAGAATTCAGAAAAGATCATACAAAGATACCTTATCAGACCCCGAATTGATCATCTGCGGAATCCCTGAGGGCTCAATTCTCAGACAATTGTTTTTATCTTATACATCAATGATATCTACCTTTTTTCTCGACGACCATGTTTGTGCTTTTCGCAGATGATACCAATTTATTGATACAAGGGAAAGATCTGGGTGACCTTGCAGATTTTCCCAATACTAAATTGAAACATATAGAGGAATGGCTCATTACTAATAAATTATCCCTTAATGCTGACAAAACAAAATATATTATATTTACTTCAACTCAAAAAGATATAATCCAAATGATATAAGCATTTTTCTAAATAAAAAGAAGCTTCAGCAAGTTGATCACATAATTTTGGTATAACAATTGATCAGAACTTAAATTGGAAGTGCCTGTTTGTGCGAAAATCTCTAGAAATATTGGTATCCTATATAGGGTTAAACATCTATTGAACAATAAAGGATTCTTAAGCATCTATTAATCGCTTATCTACTCTTGTCTGATATACGGAAATGTTATTTGGGGCGAATCGGGTAAAGTTCAAATTCACTACATCGTCTCAGATAAGGTTCACACGCATTGCAACAAATTCTGATTATCGAGCTCATTCTCTTCCCTTATTTAACTAAACATTTTAAATATATTTGACATAGATAAGCAATTGAAATGCCTTTTTATGTACAAATGGATCAATGAACTATTATCAGAAATTTTTTCCATACCTCTTTAAAACCATCCAGGAGAGACATAATTACAACACCCGAAACAAGTGTTCTTATGACAAGCCCAAAGTACGAACAAATTATGGTAGAGCTATGTTGTATTTCATTGCACCGATAATTTTGAATGAATTAACTGATGAAATGAAATCATCTGGAAGCATCTCCATTATGAAGAAAGAACTCAAAAAGTATCTTCTTAATCAATAATATCATTTATAGTCTATGTTAGTTTTATAATGATTTGCGGGCCTAATATGACACACACTATTAAGCAGAAACAAATAGTATGTATTATTACACAAGCAGATCCCCAATCTGTTCATGTATTATTATAAAACACGGGAATATACACATTATGTGTCACCCTTTTATTGTGATTTGTAGTAAATATATGAATAAATAGGAATAATAAAAATAAAAAATGAATATGCTTATTATTATCTATCAAACAAAGCAATAATCATATTTTTGTGTTTTCTAGAAGAATCACGTATGGTTAACACTAATGATTGACCCACCTCAGACATTGGGGTTTCTAAATTGCAGATCTAGATTTAAAGGACCACTAAAGGCCCGAGAGTGATACATAAAGAAAAACTAAAATTTTAGAATAATCTGGCTTTATTAATTCAAATTGAGGATTATGGCAAATAGGTCAATGGTGTTTTGTATTATATCTTAAAGAATGAAACAATCATGCTGCTCAATTTGGCTGATAGATCATCTATTTAAAAATAAACAATGATCAGCAATTCAATGGTAATATGAAGCACGAGTTTAACAGTTTATATTTACACATCATGGTTTAATTGCTCAATGACAAAAATATACTAAAGATAATTCCATTCCGTTCAATATCTATTAATGCTTAGGCGTGTCGTGAACAGTTGACCAGTGCAATTAGCAATATGTATTGTTTCTGTTGGCGAACTCAGGAAGTATGCCAGAGTCACGCCATTAACATACACAATCATACCATTGTACATTTAATGTGTGTAGAATCGATGTCCAAACCATTACCCATTATTCCCCAAACCATTCATGCCTGGTCCATGGCAACTAAGGAGAAATAATAATTTTTGAAAGTTAACAAATTGATATAGTGGTAAATGATTTAATAAAGTCGAATAACTCACCTCAATTGATTCGAGTTACATATCGTTACTGCGGGAAATGAGATTTGTTTGGAGTGTTTAATGTCGAGCAGGACGTTGACAGGGTATTTTTTATAGGCTAGGCCAACCATAATAATTTGCCAAAGAGCTACAGAGAACCCTCCAAGAGTCAGCAAAGCCCAGGTGACCTTTAACCATATCGGCCTCCTATCATTTGTGTGTGGTATCCCATGTATAGAAGTCGTGTTGACAAACTCGTTGATTGTATCTTTCATCCCAATGTTTGTCATTGTCGACACCATTGGTGTTAATGTTTTTGATTAAATCCCAAAATATCAAGTAATCTAGATATCCTTGCCATTTACGGTCGACAGCTCATATACATTTATTTTGGCAGTTTGACACATATCAAGGAATTATGATAATTGTCACACATTTGCTGCTGGTTCAAAAAGTTCAGTATTGTTTTTTGAAACGAGTCTTCTGAAAGACAGAATGAGGAAGTATTTTTTACTTTCCGAGTTTGTGTTAACTTTCCATACGATATTGCTTGTTTCAAAGTTGTATCAGTAAACATTCTATCGGTCGGAAATGATGAAAATACTGCAAAGTTGCGTTATCAACTCATCGTTTACAATCAAAGAATATTCCCTTTCGTAAAATATTAACTAGTTCCTGCTTTAAATATATTATGTTCTGTACGTATAATCCTGTTTTAAGTCTTTAACATGCAGCATTTCTTGCTTGACTTTCCAGTAATGTATAATGATATAATGTTTATATTAAGTCTAAGCATTATTATCGACTGAACCTATTTACGTATTAAGAACTTATTGCAGTCGTTCCTTATTATGGTTTGTTTCGAGAAATTGCTGAATAAAAGTAAATTAAGTTTTTAAAAAAATCTCAGTTATATCAAATTGTAGTTGTATTTCTTGCTTATTGCTTTCAATATGCGGGAGAAGTCAAAAACATCAAAATATTATGCTGAATCTTTTTGAATGAATGTACAGATTTGAATCATATTTTTTAAGGAGATCCAGAAATCAATATGTAACAATCGATCCCAAAATGTCATTTTTTATCTACAGCGGTATTTGAATGGGTGAGTTTAACAGTCAATATCTAATTAAAAGAGGTGTGAATGAGAACTCTCGGTCTCAATGTAACATTTGACATTACAGCCATAGGCCAATTAGGGGAAAGTAATAGTAAGCTGTAGATTAGAAAAGACAGGTGCACAAGTCTGACTTAGACCACTTGTTAAGATGGAAATTTCAACAATATCTAGTGTATTGAAACCCAGTCAGATGATATAGAGTGAATAATGCAGTCTAAAAGAGAATTTCTGAAAATCTGCAATTGCCAGGCAAGTTCAGTATCCAGAAAAAATGAACATTTGTAACAAGTGATCTGATTGGTCACTGCTGACCTCCCTGACCTCCAAAAGTGACAATTTCTGTATTAACCAACCAAATCACTTTTTGTTGTTTTATTTTACATGCAGTACTATAATATGCAGTTTTAAGATAAAGATTTGAAAAAATCAATGATATATATAAGTTTGAAAAACATTTTGAAGAAGATTTTGGAGAGATTTGGGAATACAATTTGATACTAGTAAGGTTCTATATACAGCTTACTATTACTTTACCCTTGGCCTATGATTACAGCAAGTGATTTCATATTTGCCTTATATACATTATTATATATTTTTTATTTGGGGGGGGGGGGTATGTTTCGGTATCTTACATCTTAAGATAAGATACCGAAACATACCCCCCCCCCCAAAAAAAAAAAATGTCGGTCGAGCAATATGTTTCAGAATTATGGGTTTCAACGATGATTGAAGAATTTGTCAAAATCTAATTATTTTAAGGTTCAATTCAGGCACAATTTTTGCACTTTCACTTTCACCAAACCATTGGTTTTAGAGATATCGGTTCAAATCCCGATGATGACATTCAATAATGTAATGGGGGTGCAAAATAACAATTGCATTTTATATTAACTTAAGCTTGTCGCAGTTACACGTTTGGAATGAGCATATGATGTAAAACACATGCAAACTACAACAATGTAATGGGGTAAAGTCTTATCTGACAGTGCTCTTCTTGAAGTAGTAGGTACACATTTAGGTTAAGATTACAGGTACAAACAGTTAGCAAGTCGAGCCATACACTGGTAATAGAATAGATTAGATGGATAATGTACTAAATACATTCACAACATACTAGCTATATATCCTGCAAGAAAGAACACATGTAATACAGCAACTGAACGACGAAGAGATATGACAGTAAAAAGAGGTTTTAACCAGTTAAAACGCCAGAAATAACTAAGTAACACCATTTTGTTCATTGTCTAGTTCACTATGTACGAGCATGCTTTTGGGGGTAAACCTCGAAAAGACTCGAGCCTTGGAAACAGGAGACAGTAATTAAGGGTTTCGCTGCAACTTGTGATGACACGCCTGCCTCTTTCGCTAATGATAAACTTTGCACAGTGACGTTCGTCATTTCAATGCGATGCCATTTGATATAGAAAGGGTCTCGATACGTAAGTATCGGCGATCGGATCATGGAGATGTACTTTCTTTATTTAAAAAGGGGAAAATGGACAACATTTCCGATGCCATAAAGTTTTCGCTGAGCTGTAGAAGTGTGCTCCTAATGTTGCTTTATGGGGAAATATTGACGTACTCCATATATGGATCTGTATCATCAGCAGCGCTTTTATGTATTCTCCTTGTTGCTATAATCATAGCTTCTGCGGTGCATTTTGAAAATGGGCACATCAACTGGAGTACGGGACCAAATGGGGATTTGAATAATATCCTTGGGGTATACTTTCAGCACGGTGGCACCCTTCTTGTTGCTGAATACAAAGAATCTGTGATCGGAATGTGTGGATTAACTCAACAACTTGACCATGGGGCAAAAACAGACATTATACCAGGCACAATGGAGATCAGAAAATTAAACGTTCTTGGGGCTTATAGGCAAAAAGGCGTAGCCACTAAGCTTTTGCACGCCATCTTTCGCCACGCAAATACCATAAGCTGCAAACAACTCGTTATTGGCGTGCACGAGTATCCCAAGATAGTCGAGTTCTGGAAGAAGCTTGGATTCAAAAGATACCAAGGATTTCCAATGCCTTTTGAATGGACATGGTTTTGTCCAGTTACGTTTGCAGAGTATAGTCTGTACCAAGGGGTAGATCACTTTGTACTGAAGAGATGATATTTTTGCCTTATATTGTTTGAGATATAAGTAATCACGTCATTTAACTAGTTTCAATGTAACTCTTAATGTACAAACATTATGGACATCTTTACAATTCCGAATTCTTAAAAAACACAATGGACATACTCCGACAATTTTTCATTTTTATCACATTTGCTTTTTAAATATCCGTCTAGATCGAGTACAGAAGTCATGGACTAGTAATGTGTAATTATTTAACAACACGTACATGTACATCTTCACAGCACTGAGTTCTTAAGAACACAAACGACATCTTTTTAAGGGGGCTTATTACCATCAAAAAGACCATTGTTTTATAGTTATTATTCGTACATGTACTATAACCTTTTCCAAAACATCTACAATTTGAGGAAGAGTTGGTTAATACGTTTTCTAAAAATATCTTACAAATTGTTGATATGATTTTCTCCATTGTTTGTTAATTAAATACATTAATTAGAATAATCTACTGAATATAATGTGACCACGAGATGCTGGCTAGGAAAACAGTCGAAACACTAAAGGTTGTACTTCAAGTTGTTGTCTTTGTTTCACATTCAGCTATTGTTAATATACATTTCGTAATTTACTTACTGTTTTATGTTACATTTTATATTACTTAGCTAGGATGAATGTGAAAGCCTACTACAAGGGAATATGGGTGTGGAGGAAAATGCATATATATATTTTATTTTTTATATTTTTTATATTATCTTTTGCCTACTCTAAAAGAGGATTAACACATTTAAGCAAAACTGATGTTTCAAAGAATTGCCCCCACTCATTAAAGTTACATCTTTACCTATCTGCAAACCTTTTATAACACCAAGTTGCAAGGGGGGGATTGGGATTATTTACTACTTGTCCAATTTCAATAAAGTTGGTATTGTTGTAAACCTTATTCAATTACCTCTTCAGAAGAGTATTGGTTTTTCAAAAAATATAGTGGGTCAAAAAAGGTCAAATCAAGGCAAACGTAACATAGGGGGTGTAAATATTTGACATTTTGTGATAAATTTTTTAATTGGATATTGATATTGATGTACTTCACGTCGCGTTTATTGTGAATACAGAGTCAGAGAAGCTAACAATACAAATGCTTATGAGAAATACAATATAACTCTACTTGCAATTAAAATTATTTCTAATTGTACTTAATCTACACCTGTACACGCCAAAAGTGCAATTTTCTGTGACTCGAGCAAGAAAAATAATGGAGGCACCAAGAAAAAGTTAAAAAATCGAAATTTATATTAAGTTAACCCCCCTCCCCTCCTCTAATAGGGTTAATAAAATTGTAAAAACCTGATATATTATATAAAAAGGTGCCCTTATCCTTATCAAATGGTTTTATATGAACCCTTGAACAAGTCACGTCATTCATTTGGCCCCCGAGTGTGACTAAAAGTACCTCAATGCGAAGATTTATTTTATCAAAAACCAAGTAGCAATGTACTTTAAACAACATATGCTCAAATTCCATTACAGGATGGTCCAGAAGATGTATTCTCTAGTTTTAGATATTGTTCTTTAGCATTGGTACTAATGGTTTTGATTTCCATCACCATACCCGAGGCAGTATTGGGGTCAATCTTGGCAATACTGAATCCCGAGAGGCTTTTTTCTTGAGTCCATTATTGCCATTGTCAGCTTTTAAATCAGTAATTATAATCAGTAATTAAATCAGTAATTATATTGTTAACAATTCACAGCCATCATTGGAATTCTTAAAAGGTATAATATTAATTACAATGATTTAATGTGGCACTCCATATTTGTATTCTATCATAATGAGCTATAATAGCTTATGAAATGTTTCAGAATATTTGAGGTTCTTTTTTATGAATTAAACATTTTTTTGGCCCGATTTATTTGAGTCACTTTACGTAGTCATTTAGTGCATTTTACAATAAAAGTATAAGTTCACATTAGGTTAAACAATATTGTTCCGCTTTTTTGGACCACCCTAGTCTGTACTTAATAAAGAGCAATCGCATATCGACAGAAAGTGACTTGTTACTTCAAGGATGTCGACGTATTTTACAATAGTGGTTCTTTTACTTTTGCAGTTGTGCGGAAGAATTGATTCTACGAAAGAAGAGCGTCTGGAAAGCCTTGTGAAAAGACAGGGTAAGTAGACATATCTCACAGCGACCCTCTTGATATATTTGTTGGTACTCACCATTGTCACCCTCTGTAATTCAACAAATATCACCAAGGCATCAACATATAAAATGTCACCACTGGCCATTTGTTACAGGCGCAGTATGCCAACCGCAAAACGCAGTCACAAAAAAGAGTGATGACATTAAAATAGGTTATCACTCTTATAAAAAATGCCATCACTTTTTGCGGTGATCATATTAATGAGAATGCCGAAAATGAAAGCGGGATATTTTGCTTAGTATATGATAATGATTTTCTTATAAGATACATAAATGATGATAGTACCAATAGACACAGCTCAATCAAATCATATCACGGCCGAATTTCTTTCTTTTGTAATGATATTTCATTAAAGTTTGCAACCGACTATACCGAAGAAAACTCAAAAACACTACAGTCCAGTTATTGTAGACACAAATGTGATTTACACCCCAGTCACATTTCCTACGGCGACCTTGCTGTCTATCATTTCTGCGGCCAGTAACATTTCTACGCTCGCCGTGGAATTTCTGCGCTCTCATACTTTTGCAGTCACATTTCCCACGGCAGCCGCACGGTGAATTTTAAATTTATATTGATAAATTATAGTTTTTTCATTTTATTTACATCAGGACAATTTATAAATGTTATTCAAAGTGCTAAAATGTAATATCAAATGAAAAGTGGTCGTGAAACATTGACAAATAATGATTCAATCTTGTTGAGCCAGTTGATTTCTACGGGGACCTCAGAAATGAAGAAATATTATAACACCCCAGTCACATTTGTCGCAAGGCGGCCGCAAGTCGACCGCAGAACAATTAAATCGGTGAGCGTAGAAAAACTACTGTGAAATGTGACTGCAAAAGTATGAGAGCGCAGAAATTCTGCGGCGAGCGTAGAAAAGCTACTGGCCGCAGAAATGATAGACCGCAAGGTCGCCGTAGAAAATGTGACTGGGGTGTTACACCCCAGTCACATTTGTCGCACGGCGGCCGCAAGTCGACCGCAGATCAATTAAATCGGTGAATTTCTGCGGCGAGCGTAGAAAAACTACGCTCGCCTTGCGGCCTTCGTACGGCGAATGCAGATTTTTACAGGCCGCAGGGAAGGCGTAGAAATTATAATTCGGTGTTATAATATTTGTTCATTTCTGAGGTCGCGTAGAAATCAACTGGCTCAACAAGATTGAATCATTATTTGTCAATGTTTCACGATCACTTTTCATTTGATATTACATCCTAGCACTTTGAATAACATTTATAAATTGTCCTGATGTAAATAAAATGAAAAAAACTATTATTTATCAATAGAAATTTAAAATTCACCGTGCGGCTGCCGTGGGAAATGTGACTGCAAAAGTATGAGAGCGCAGAAATTCTGCGGCGAGCGTAGAAAAGATACTGGCCGCAGAAATGATAGACCGCAAGGTCGCCGTAGGAAATGTGACTGGGGTGTAACTCCGAGTTATAATTTCTACGCCTTCCATGCGGCCTGTAAAAATCTGCATACGCCTTACACCCCAGTCACATTTCCTACGGCGACCTTGCGGTCTATCATTTCTGCGGCCTGTAACATTTCTACGCTCGCCGTGGAATTTCTGCGCTTTCATACTTTTGCAGTCACATTTCCCACGGCAGCCGCACGGTGAATTTTAAATTTCTGTTGATAAATAATACTTTTTTTCATTTTATTTACATCGGGACAACTTATAAATGTTATTCATAGTGCTAGGATGTAATATTAAATGAAAAGTGATCGTGAAACATTGACAAATAATGATTCAATCTTGTTGAGCCAGTTGATTTCTACGGCGACCTCAAAAATGAACAAAAATTATAACTCCGAGTTATAATTTCTACGCCTTCCCTGCGGCCTGTAAAAATCTGCATACGCCGTACGGAGGCCGCAAGGCCGTAGTTTTTCTACGCTCGCCGCAGAAATTCACCGATTTAATTGTTCTGCGGTCGACTTGCGGCCGCCGTGCGACAAATGTGACTGGGGTGTTACATCTATATTTCACGACTATATTTCATTTAACTTCATAGTCCCAACTAAATCCCGACTTAGACGTTACACAATTAATTCCAGGTGAACCAGGGTGTGTAGACTGGAATGGAATATTTCGACCTGAAAATTCAACATGGATGGAGGGTTGTGTGGAGTACTCGTGTTACCAAGGGGGCTCATATGGACCAAGTAAACTAGGTATGTAGTACTTTCGTTTTGAGTACATTATGTCGCAAAATGTAATAGGATTCAATATATTTGCAAAGGTCAAAATCTCCAACCAAACTTGAAGATATTTGTGAAATTAATTGGCCGATTTGAATATACTTAACACGTTGTATGTTATGGACTAAAAAGGTATTTTTGATTCTAAATCTAAAAAGATTGACTCTCCGGTCCAGTCATGATTTAGCGAATATAGCAGAACAGTAGGCGTCTGGCAGTAGACAATTACGTTAAAGTGTGCCATGATTGTGCCTTCTTATGCTGATATCTTTATTTTTGATTTTTTTCCTGTCGGGTTGTGGAATTCAAAATTCTTCAACGATTATGAACAACAAGAATATGTCATTCTTAAGGATGTCGCAGGAACACTGACGGCGTATGTGTTGACATCGGGGCGCAGTGGTACGACGGTTGTATTGGGTATGAGTGCTTCCAGGACGGTGGTAGTTTTGGCACGAGGGTATTTAAGAAAGGTATACAATTAAAAAAAACACTTTCCACACTAATCATAAAGGTCATTAGAAATAGTGAAAATGAACCTAGACTTTTCCTCCAAAATGCCTGCGATTTATTTTTTGAATAAGTCCAACTTCTGTCATGCGTGACTTATGTTTTTAATTTTTTGGAAGATTTTGATATATATTATCTTCAAAAAAGTTCACCCAGGTGTATTAAAAATATTTTTTACAGCATGTAGTGACGGCGCCGGAGGCTGCAAAGATGTAAATGCTACATGGGTCAATGACCAATGTACAACCTATCAGTGCTTTGAAGAGGGGAATTATCTCGTTAGTAGGGTAGTAAATCAAGGTATGCTGGAAGAAAAATATTGAAATCACTTAATGAAAATTATTCAAGTCGAGCCCATTGAACACATCTAGTTCTTTAAAACATACACTCTCGTAATCTCACCAAGTATAACTTGTATTTATTGCATCAATATTCGTAACATTAATATCTTTTTTTACCCCACGGAGTAAGTTAAACCGAACATAAACAAAACCAGTTACAACAAATGGTACCTACTGTCCCACATATAATTCACTGCCTTACACAACAAATATGTAAAATGCTTCAAAACTGTATTCGATCCGATCAAATATAAATTTGATAAGTATTTTAAATATATGCGATGCCAAGTACCCTTCGTATTGGGTAAACATATTCATTTGTGGTAAACATATTAATTTGTGGGGTAAGTCACGTGACTTACCGAATGCTTTTATATAAACCAATGTTCATTGTTTTGATGTGGGGTAAGTCACGTGACTTCGACCATGTGACTTGCGCCATCTATATATTCAAAGCAAAGAGCTCTGGTGTAATTCTCCAATCGCGAAAACGGATCGCTTGAAGCCTCGTGCCTGTTGTAATGATATAATAACTTGTCATTCTATACTCATCACTCTCTTTCATAAGACACAACACACATTTCTTCAGTTTCAAGAAATGAGAGCGCTTGGCACGCGTGTTTATTAATGAACATGGTACAACAGTTACATAAATAATGAGAACATGACAATGTATACGCATACAGTGAGTGAGTTAGTGAATGTCACTAGAAAATACAAAACAGAATAACTGCACATGTATGACAATTCGATTGACACCATTAAAACCTCATCCAATTAATTAGGATTTATGAGGACTCTTAAGCTAAGCAAAGACCCAAAGTATTGAGGCCGAAATTCAAAATAGGTCTTTGCAGAGATAAAAAGGTATGCCAATCAAAATATCAATTTGTACGATCAATACTGACAAAATCTATTCTATGAAACATTCAGAAATAATATAATCTACAAATTAGAAGTTAAGTGTATTCCTCGCACGCTGGCAAGCCTCAGAATGACGTGTTCCTAACACTTACTCACTCCAAACACAAATAACCGCCAAACCGTTCAGCCAATAGAAATCATTTATGTTCTCAAGTCGCTACACTGCGTTCCGCTTCACCAAACATAAATAGCTAATATCCTCTCTGAATTGTGAATATGAATCGTATTCAAATTATTTTTCCTCGCTTGTTTCATCCATTTGAAATAATTTCTACGTCACTGGTCACGTGATTTACCGAATGGTTTTATGCTACATGCAGCATGTGTCATTTATGTGGGGTAAGTCACGTGACTTACCCCACATAATTTTTTGCGAAAGTACATGTCATTAATTATGAGGGGTAAGTCACTATATGTCCGTGCTATTTTGTACTCTATGATTGTTTGGTAAATGAACATTGTTTGGTTCTAAAGTGTATTTGTATTTGATGCGTGTTCTAAATATATGTGTCAACCGTCTTTGTTCGTGTGTGTACATGGACTTAAATATGTGATATTTTACCAAACACTGAATAACATAAACCGAATATACAAGTGCATTTACCGCATATATGGGTACATAAATCAAATATAAATGTGTAAAAACAAACAAATTTATTACGTGTTTCGAATTATTTTAATAGAGTGGAATATCGAATGGTTGTAATCAAATACAAAAGTGTGAAAATCGAATAAAGATGCAGAAAAAATTCCATAACCAAGAGCATAAAAGAATTGCTAATATGAGGCTTACATCTATCAGGTGTTCATGCATGGTCACACATTACCATCTTTCCATCGGTAGATTATTTACTATCACATCCCATTCTCTTATACGTCGTAGCACCGGAAGTTTACGACGTCATACCCAGTATTTCCCACTGGAGATTTGTAAGTACTCATTTATTTTGACATTTTGACAGAATATGGTCATTTCACTTTCATAAAAACATTGACAATACCATGCAGATATACTCCTCGTTTGACTTCGTCTCGACATTTCGTCTGAACACGGTCTAAAACTTCTTAAACCTTCTAGAAAGCACAACAATTTCTTGAAAAACAAAGATCATTTTTTCACGAAAAGCATCATAGTTTCTACAATTTTAGCCCTATCATCTTGAAATATTGATAAGATTAACAATACAATTTTTACATATCATCCAGTCACTTCAGTTTCCCAAGAGTAATGAAAGAATTCCGAGAAGTTATTTTTTCTTTGAAAGTATACGACGTAAAAGGAGTACGACGTTCAGGTAATTAAATATCTACAATGAAATGCCGTATACCTCCTTTACGTCGTATACTTTCAAAGAAAAATTAATTTCTCGGAATTCGTTTATTGATTTGGGAAACTGAAGTGTCTGGATGGTGTATAAAAGGATAAAGTTAGAATTATAGAAACTATGATGAATTTTGTGAACAATGATCATTTTTTCAAAAAAATTGTGCTTTGTAGAAGGTTTGAGAGGTTTTATACCGTGTTCAGACGGAATGTTGAGACGCTGTGATACTAGAGGTATACCTGCATGGTAAAGATAATATTTCTACGAAAAGGAAAGAACCGTATTCTATCAAAACGTCGAAACAAATGAGTACTTACAAATTTCCCGCCAAAAACACTTGTATAACTTCATAAACTTCCGTTGCTACGACGTATAAGAGAATGGGATGTGACTATATGCTAGATTTAGATTAGATTAATTAACTTTGTAACACCCATATTGGGTTAAGTGTAAACAAAGTATATTTTATGAAAATAGAAAATATATATGAGATATTTGCTACTTGCAGAATGTAGAACATGTTCTGGTTCATGTGTTCCCCTGGGCTCTGAAGGGTTTTGCTATATCATTGGCGGAAATACCTACCAGAACTGTCGCTGTTTCCAAGACGGAAATTACATCAGATATCAATGTAGCGGTTTCTATGGTTACCAAGATAATCAGGAAATCAGGACGCGCATGAATGTATGAATATGATTTGCATGTTGACATAATGTTTTCCAAAAATAAAAAAACCGCAACTTCTACTGTTCCAAATGAATTCTGCGACATTAGGAGTAGGACTGAATAGGGCTCAATTATATTGTGAATATATGGGCTTGAAATGACTTGAAATGACGGTTTTTTCGAATGCCAACACTATGTAAAATCCTATGATTAATACTTGTGATAACATCTTATATTGATGTTTAATTTGTTGTTTAATCCAATATCACAGAAAGTATCATTCAATATTATAACATCTGATCCGGACTCAAATATCATTAGAGAATGATACCCGATTAAACCAAAATATATTCCAGTTTAACCTGATATAATTTAAGTCAGGATCAGATTAAACAGTATTATACGCATATCATTTTCTATTATAACAGGTTTCAAAGTGGTATAATACAAATTATACATATCATTTTTTGTATAATACAAATTAAACTGGAATATACCATGACCAAACAGATGATACTGTATTATACGGTTCAGAAATTAATGGCACTTTGTTTTCATAACGTCAGACTTTAATTAGATAAGCTAACGTAAATATTTACATAAGGTACATACGTAATTCTAGAATTTTTTTGAAACTCATGTTTGACCATTTGTCTCAGACTGAAATCCGATATTGTTTTTTTGGCAATCGCACCCCCCCCCCCACCCCCGACTGAAAGTTGGCTACGCCCCTGTACATGGCTAATAGGGGCACTATTACGCTACGTGCAGAGTCTAGTTATATACTACGAGAAGACGAAACTCTCTTTTAAGAAGTGAAGTCGAACGAATGCAAAGGGTAGGGCACTATAGAAGGGGATCATACAAAAGCACGATCTATTTCACAACGCCTTTAATTTTTGCTCTTCAACTGTTGCCCTTTGTGCATTTAATAAATAAAATATCTTAATCTGATTTGTTCAACCTTTCTTTTCGCTCAGTTCTGCAATATTACGTCCACATGTTATTTAGGCTTACATGCATGTCATTTGCGAAATAGCTGTAAGACATTATGAGAATGAATATGGGAATTTCCACGTAATATGTTGTTCACATGATTATATACACATATCTGCATAACAATCGGAGACAGAAGTCAAAATATTGTCCAATAAAGAATCTAACATTTAGAGATAACAAAAGGATTAATTGCTATATAGTTCTCTTTGTCTTAGTCTTTGTTTTCTTAACTGTGGAAGTCTACCAACATCACCTAGACTACATAAGAGATCATCTAACAGTCTAAAATTGCTTTTAATCGCAAGTTAAAGTATTCCGACCAAAAGTTGTATACCTGTAATTTGGGGGGGGGGGCGATGTTACATCACATAACTACAACGTTCATATAGAAATATACAATAAGCATGTCGTATAAAAGCTTAAATTATAAATACTCATTTCAAAGTCATTCTGTTCATGGAAGCGTCAAGTTATGAAAAACAATGCTAAACACTAAAATAAACAAATCGACTTGATTACGTTTGAAAACTTCTTGATAGGTGATGGACAAATGTATTTTTCTAACTCATTAGAATGTCTGTCTGATTGAAATACTATTTTTTAAATACAAACATAAATGAATAAATCTTGGTCAGAAGTCTGAACATTGTCCAACGAAATAATAAGAATTTACTTTAAACATTTAATGATTACAAAAGGATTAATTGCTATATAGTCTTTGTCTTAGTCTTTGTTTTTCTAACGGTGGAAGTGTACCAACATTACCTTGATTACAGAAGATCTAACAGTCTAAAATTGCTTTTAATTCCCGGGTTTTAATTACATTGTATGAATAGAGTTTTTTGCCTCTCTTTCCATTTTTAAACCGGTCTCTGTTTCCGTATTTAACAATTTATTGTGATAAATTATTTCAGTTAGTGTCGAAATCAAAACAATTTTCTACATTATAGTCCCCTCCTCTTGCACTGACTAAATATTAAAATAAGCCAGTCTGATTGCGAATTTACAAATCCTATAAAAGTAGCTTCAAACCGCCTTTTAATCAGAGAAAACAATAAGTTAATTCATCTGATTGCGAAAAAAACGAATCCATCTAATTATCTGATCTCCATGCTATTTGATTCGTGCATTATCTACAAGCCAATCGGGCAAGGGTGAAATTATTTCATTTGAAAACAGAAATAAATATTATAACCCCTCTAGCATAACTGTTCGGGAGAAATTCATACAAAAATAAGGTACACAACTGATGAGGGATCGCACGCAATGCACGCACCCCTCTCCTCCTCCTCCGTGTTTGCCCAAACACGACGATATTTGATAATTTATAAAGGAAAAAGCATTTCCCCCAGGAATATAGGTGTAGCGGATGCCAGAAGTCGCACAGCTTGGGAGTCAGGGTATCCTGATCCATGCCTCATCGCCTGATTGGTCTGACATTTAGAGGGGGCGCAAAAATGATTAGGGGGGGGGGGTAAACGTGGAAGTTGCCAAAATATCCGTGGGCGTATCCAGGGGGGGGGGGTTGTGATGGGTGCGATCGCCCCCCCCCCCTTAACAATAAAAATAAAACCCTGAGAAAGAAGAAGAAAGGAGCTTTAAAATGCTGCTCAGGCCACAATCGTACCCTCCTGACTGAAAACCGAAAACTTTTTGGCGATCGCACCCCCTCCCCCTGACTGAAAGCTGGCTACGCCCCTGATATCTGTTTTTGGTCATCAATAAAACTATATTTATATGGTGATGATTATGGGTTTTGATAACAATAGGCTTTATATATGTATAATTAATCCAAATTCATGTTGTATCATGTTGGCTATATCGTTTCAAGTGAAGAATGAAGAACTGAAATCGGGGTTGACTTAGTTTGAGCTGAGGCATATAAAATATATATGTTTTATATATCTCTGGTTTGAGTCAGGGAACAAAATCTAATCAGACAGACGGATAAATTAATTTTTGTTTTAATAAATGAGTATTATAGGTTATAGGCAGGCCCGTAGCCAGGGGAGGGGTTCGCAGGGTTCGGGCGAACCCCCCTGGCCAAAGATTCTTTCAAAATCATGCAGTTTTTCACCATTTTGAGCATTTCTCGTGTGATTTTAGCCATATTTGGACCAAAATTGTAGATTGAAAAACAAGGATCAATAAATACAACTACTCAAAATCAAACATTAGAAATCTATTTTTGACTGGACACATTTTTGTTCTCGAATGCCAACTTTGATTTGAATGATTTCAATCAAATAGGTAGGTGTGAATATTTTCGAAACAAATGCGTGATATATACACATATTTTGTACCAAATATGTGACACAAACGGCAATCGCGTGCAAAGACCGAACGGAATGCGTTCGCTTTTTTTGCCGTTCGGTATTTTACTGTGTCGGCATTTCACAAAAAAACGGTTTTTAAAAATTTCAACAAAATCCGCGATTTGTGTGATATTTGATCATACACGCTAAATTGATGCGTGATTTCTATTTTTTCAGCAAATGCGTAACAATCACGCCTAATGCGTGAGGGTTGACAGGGCAGTTATTACATCAGAGACAATTAAAACGTGACCTGATCGGGAGAGGATTCGAGTTGTACACAGTACACACATTGCTATCTCTTTATGCATGCTTAATTGCCAAATTACTATAAAAACAAGCTGGAGTAAACATTAAGTATTTATTTAGTATTTTGTTATCACACATCAAAAGGCGCATTTGAAGTTCAGAAAATGCAAGAAGACTTGGATAGACATTGTATTTATATATTTATATGTTATGAATTTATTTCAAGTTGTATTCAATTCGAATTCTGTTGAGTTGGACTCCTTGAACACCCCCCCCCCCCCTTGGCTACGGGTATAAGTACCTTCGGCACAGGAGAGAATAATATTAGACTTCTGCAATGCAACTAATTAGAGAGACCTTAAAATGAAAATAATGTGTCTACTTCGGGTAACTGTTCCTGTAGAAAATATACAATTGTAGTCCATCACAGAGTTCATTTATTTCACGAAAGCGTCAAAGGACATTGCCTCTAAACACTAAGATAAACAAATTAACTTCCGCAGAAACATCCTGTAGAGGAAAAAACAAATGGCTTTTCATAACGGATTAGAATAGTCAGTCTGTCTGATTGTATACATATAATATATTAGATACATTTTAAATTAAATGAGTTTTGACGGATTATGTGATTCCTGGGAAATGAAAATTAGTTTATTTTTCCTGGCTGTTTAATGAAAGCACATTTAAAAATCTCCATTCATTAACATCTAACGGGCTTTGAAAACCAGGGATTGAAAACGAGGAATCAATGGTAATTAATATGATCTTGGAATTTGTACACGTGTATGAGAGGTGCGAAAGGCAGGCTGACCGTGCGGTCGCCGTATGGTTGACATGCGGACAATGTAAGAATGCGAAGGGTAACTGTGTTCCCCTGGTCTTGTCTGCTACAAATGGATATGCATGGATTTATTGCACTCGACAGAGTTATGTTTATGTCTTTTGAACGGTGGCTCTACCTCGATGCATCTGTTAATAAATGATACTATAAGCTTTATTGGATGTGAATTCACCCTTTCAAATTCAAATTCCAAATAAATAAAGCACACAATTTAAGTGTGACAAAAAAGAGCAAAACTGAAAACCCGTTCACCTATAGTGCCCGACATATCGTTAATAAACAATTTCCACATGTTGAAATATATTGCTATTTGATTGAGGTCAAGACAAAACATTTTGGAATTGTTTCACATAATGTAATATTCCTCGGATTTGATGCATACACATGTTTCACAATCAGAGACAAGGGTCTTATACGGGGTCTTACATTTGGAAGACCAATCTATAAGTAGTATTAGATTATCACAAAAGATAAATAACTTTTAAAACTGCGGTTAGGTAGCATCTTGATTACAGTAAAGACAGGTCATCTAGGAATTATTTCTGCCTCTAATTCCTTAAACCTTCGTTGAACAGTGCCAAAATATTTCAGTCAGATCCTAAAACAAAACTATTTTTATTTCTAATCCCCTCACCTTGTCAATGTCTATGCCTGCATCTGGTTTTGGCCACCATTGGGAGGGAGCCGATATACACATAGATTACGTACTTGCCATGGACAGGGGGGGGGGCACAGAAACGAACAATCTGGGGTCATAAAAGATAATTGGGGAAGGGGGAGGGGAGGTGGTGAATAGTGAAGTCCGGGAGTGAAGTTAAGGGGTACTGAAATCTTTCTTTTGATATTTAGTGCTTGAATGGAGACTCGTTTCCACTCCCCGCACTCTAGTAAAATTTAAATATTTGATCCAAAGGAGTTATTTTGTATCAAACTTGCATTCCGATTAATTAACACTCCCACGATTGTACCGCTTCACTATTGTCTAAGATAATTATAATGAATTCACGGGACACTATAGTCTTCCTTTTAAACTTTAGTGGTTGGATCAGAGACATAAAAACAATTATAAATATTTGATTTAGGGAGGTATTTGCAATCCAACTCTGATGATACAAGACTAGTCAGCCAAGACTAAATCCCGGGGACTAAGTTATGAACTTATTTATCATTTAGACTATTGAGTTCATTAAATTATTATTCCATAGATATCGCATTTAATCCTGTCAACACAATCGTGGTATTAATTGGCATGATATTTAATCAGACAGACGGTTTAAAAAGTTGTTGATTAATGATTAGTATTAAGTATTAATGATTAAGTATTAGGAAAATCCTAATTCAAAGTTTTTGTTCTCTTGCAATAGCAAACCCCTCACCGGGCAAGCATTCTTTAAAAACGTGAAGTTGAGCAGTTTTGAAAATTGTCCATTTTGAACCATCGCCTTGTATATTTTTATAACTGCCCTTAAATCACGATAACCGTGATTCCCGAAAGCTGAGATAAGGCCATAAGAATTAGATTCTCTGTTTTGCGTCCTGGCAAAATCCTAATCATGCAAGGGTACAAGGAAAACAAACACAAACTCAAAAAAAACACTAACATTTTTGCTAAGAAATGTATATACATTTTATGGGCATTAAAAGGGATGACATACCAATTTGCAGTGATACAAACACAGATCTATACATTTTATACAATATATTTAAATATAGGTATTATTCAAGGGTAAAAATAAGAAAATACACAATGTATGCCAAAGTAATCAATATCACTGTCAATTTTGACGCACATCAATTTATCCGCCATTTCGTCTGATTCTGATTGAACAAAATGTAACTTCCAGACCCTTGTGATTGCTATTTGGATGTGTTTGTTTTTTCTGATTTACTCAAAATCGTGCAAGCAAGGGGACGCAAAACAAAGAATCTACTTCTTATGGCCTAACTATGGCACACAAATACTAGTAGCCGTTATGGAAAATAAAAACACCGAATTTTGAAATGGGTTAAAATGTCGCAGTCTTACGTTGTCTCCGTTAACAATGTAGCTTTAATATTAAGACATATTGATTTCAATTAATAAAGTGCCCACATTTTTCTTTCATGGAGCGCATTGAAGCAATCCAATATTATAATAAAACCGCTAATAATCTAAATGGGCGCCCGTGTTTTTGCAAGCACGTTATAAATGCTAAAACTAAAATATATCTTTCAACTGCTGCACTAATCACTTCTGGTGACTTATTTTGAAAAATCATTAATATTAATTCATTACAACTTTCAAATGTCAAAACTTAATTTATCAATACCCGCTTTTATTAAAACACTCAATATGTCTATGTCAACAAGATCGTGTCAACACGTTGTGTCAACAACATGTAACCTAATGTAAACAAATTATACGCAAGAGCAGAGAAATGTATCATCCAGTATAATATGTTTTTCCCAGTTGAACCAAATGGAATATAACAGCTGATAATAGCTGATAACAAATTAAAACAAATTATACAAGTATCAGAGGAGAAACTCCAAAAAAGTCCGTATCATTCATTGTTATAATTATGTCTTATACATAAACCTATGATAACAGGTTAAAACGAATTAAAACAACTGATATGTATGTTTAATAGGTTTATGATACTGTATTAATCATGGGATTTTACATAGTGCAAGAAACTTCCCATTGGATAACATTATAATGCTAACCTTCCCGACACTTAATTTTCTGAATCTGGCAAAAATAAGCAATATGCAAATTAAATGATAAGGTAAAATTACCACTTGTACAGTAGATTGATCGAATTCATTGAAAATATCCATAAAAAAGAAGGGTGTCATTAGCAAGTGGTAACACCCCTATCACACCAAACTAGTTCTTAACCGTTCTTGCCAGTCCTACGAAAACAGGTCGCACCACGTCGGTGTGCAACGTCGTATAACGCGTCCCTTAGTCTAGAAGGTGATCATGACCTGATTACATAACGGTATGGTCGCCATCGAATTTCGAATCGATTCAAAATCCTAAATCACATTCTCCGTCCGGGAAAATCCGTACGAAATTCGTAAACAGACCGTAGAACGTTGTAGCTACGTTCATTCCGTTCGCACACAGTTTAAAACCAGTTTTGAAGAACGCAGTGGCAACTTGCTTGGTGTGATAGCTATATTTTTGCTAACTCGTTGATAAATACGTTCTAAATCAGTTTTAACCCGTTTGCAATTAGTTCTACCTCGTTCTCAAAACGTCCTCAGACAGTTCAACTCGTTGTAAAAACGTCCCTAGTAGGATTGAAGTACGACAGTTCCGTTCGTAGTACGTCCAGCTCGTCGTTGGCAGGTTGTCATTCGTTCTAATTGTAGAATGTGACGACCAAGAGAACATTTTGAGCATGTTCTAAGTTCCAGAGCACCTACCCGTTCGAGTACGTTCGATGAAGTTTGTAAATAGACCCCAAACGGTTCTAAGTACGCCCAGTCTGTTCGTACACAGTTGAAGCCCGTTTTCGAGAACGTAGTGAGAACTAGTTTGGTGTGATAGTACCCCCAATATCACACCAAACTAGTTCTTACTACTAGGTAATTAATAATACTAATTGTCAACTGGTTTAAACTGATTAAGGACGTAATTGAACGGCTTGGATACGTTGTGTAGACGACGAGACGAACGCACAATTTAACCCGATCTAAACTTGATACCAACGTACTTCAGACGGAATAAAGACGAGATGAACGTATTAAAAACTGCTTATGAACGAATTAACAAAAATAGCTTTTATACAAGAACCAGTTGTCACTGCGTTCTTCAAAACGTTGCCGAATCGGTTTTAAACTGTGTGCGAACTGAATGAACGTTGCTACAACGTTCTACGGTCTGTTTACGAACTTCATGGACTTTCCCAGACGGGGAATGTGATTTAGAATTTTGAATCCACTCAAAATTCGATGGCGACCATACCGTTCTGTAATCAGGTCATGATGACCTTCTAAACTAAGTGACGCGTTATACGACGTTGCACACCGACGTGGTGCGACCTGAACGAACTACGAATGAGATGGACGTATTGAAGACTGTTTATGAACGGAGTAGCTAATTATTTTAAACATATTTCCCGACCACAGCCAGATTGAGCCCGTTTTACGACGTTTTCGTAAGACTGGCAAGAACGGGTAACAACTAGTTTGGTGTGATAGGGGGGTACCTATCCAACGAGTTCCAACATTGTCAAGAATTGGTAGAAAGCGGCAAAAACAATTGCACTATAAAAACAAAAAACGTTAACAAAAACAGTTATATAAAATATTTCTTAATAATTTTCGCATTAAATTTTTGTCAATCAGTCAACATTACATAAAATACCGTGGTTTTTACAGAATGTTTTCAATGATTGGTTTAAGAGAAAAACATTGTTGAATTCAGTTCTCCATATCGATATCACTCCTTTTCACACATACAAAATTGAGATAATTTTGGAGAGAGGAATAAGACATTTTTGATCGCAATATAAAACTTTACATTCCATTGGTCATTTTCGGTTTTCATTTTCATTTTCAAGTGGGTAGAACTGACTTTCACATCAACAGTCTGTTTTCCTTGTTTATATTAGTATCACATGTATCTTTACCAATTCTTTACGGAAGTGCATAAAGCCGAGGAGCTACTGATATGCGACTATGTCTGTCAAATTTCTGAAAGCGTTTTAGATCGACAATTTAAGCACTTTTTATCTAACCAAGGTTGTTATTATACTCTTGACTTCATTGACTCCTCACTATACTCGAGTTAAAAAAGTGGTACTGCATATAACATAAACTCCATTGCGCATGCGTGCAAAATTAAACATTAAAGGGGCGCAGTTTCACTCAAAGACAAAAAGTGGATTGCCCGAACATGAACAATGTCAAAATATAGTTTACTTGGATTTGCTACTTTAGTTACTACTGGTTAGTATATTTTTACAATTTCCTCAAGATATAAGGTAAATCAATTTAATTTGCACGATATAAATTAAAATAGGGTATTTTAAGATATTTGTAATTTTGTTAAATTCCATTTCTTTGTAAACCCAAACGTACTCATATTCACAGATATACATGATATAGGCTCCGTACAACTTGCAAAATAATAAACATGATCTAAAGTGATTAACAAAATTAATTTATATGTTCTTCGGAGAAGATTTATATGCATAATATTCACGGATTCGATTTTTGGTGGAAATTGATTGGCTAATATCTAATCGTTGGTTATCTTGCTAATCGAAAAATCAAAAATGTCTAGGATATATATGGGGTGGGCCAGCAAAACGTTCATATTTGTAAAATAAAATGTGGTTTGAGTAATAAACATTATGATAAGATCTCCCACCCATTTGATAAAGAAAGCTAAGATAGCTAGCCTTCTGGCATTGATAATGATGAACGTATTGCCATTGATGACAAGCAGATACAATTTGAATATCATAAGCTTTAAACATTGTAACAGTTGTAACTTCTCTTATTCGGCGATTACAGATCAGTAGTTTTTAGTCAGAGCTTCTAATCATATTATTCATAGCAAGACGAAAAGATGTGTTAAATATCACAATGAATAGGAGGTATGTTCTCACACCTTTCACACCTTGAAAAGTTGGACGAACTCCCTTATCGTGTGTATGTGCATTTAATAGAAGAATACACCATTGTACAAACCCACGATTGTTTGAAGAGTGTAAAAGCATTGTTTTCTAATCAGAAGAAATATAGGTAAGGGTGCTTCATGTAACATGTCAATGATATAAATAAAATGGTTTCATGATAACGATAAGGAGCAATATTATAAAACTATATGTAGAACAAATAAAAAAAATGACAATACATTGATCAGTTTGTCATCTAGATCTCCATAAAGGTGCATTTGAGAATTCTGTGTTTGTATATTACTAATTATATTGCATCAGGTAGAAATATTTGAACCATCAAGTCGAGCATCTTGATACTGGATTATGCAACTGATTCATATTTTTCCAAACCCTTCATTGACAATAACATAATATTGTAAACTACAGTCGACAATAACATCTTATTGTAAACTGTAGTTAATTGACTATGTTCAAGCTCTTGATGATGTTTCCCAATTGCAAATTATCCTTTTATGGTCCATTTTCTTAGATTACCAGGTCCAACCTTGCAAAGATCTGTGTTTAATAGTTCTGCGGTTTTTACAATTAATACATCTTGTATGTCGTGTGTTAATTTTATACTTTCATTAGACTAAGTAAGATAATTTTATGTTTTGCAAATTGTTGCCTATATTGTGCATTTTTATTTTGAAAATTGTTTTGATTGATTTCAGTGGTATCTATTTTGTAATTTGCTAGATGTAATCAGAGGTAGTGTCTAAGAATGTCAAACACAATGCCATTGCAGATAACATTATTTTTATATTGACACAATAATAATATAATAATAATAATATTTATTGACACAACCTCATGTACATGTACAGTGTGGTATCGTCAGGCTAACTAAGTATAAGGAAATACATAGAAAAAATATATATATATATATGATACAGTGTGTACATTTTTAATATTTTACAGGTTATTGGATATGAATTTCATTATGTCAGTCATGTTTGTTTTATAAGACATGATGTGGAGAAATTGCTGTACATCTGTCATGGAATAAAATGTTGAACATGATTTAGATATTTTTTCGAATAAGATGTTCCTTGTTACAGAATATTTGTTACATTTCATGACAAAATGAAATTCATCTTCAATAGGTTTGTCAGAGTTGTTGCATTTAGTACAGTGACGATTTTCAAATTTGACATGTTTGCGACGTCCCTTTTCCACCTCAAGATTATGGTCACTTATACGAAGCTTTGTGAATTTTACTCTACTATATACATTTTGTGTTGAAGTTAAGTATTTTTCTAAAGTCAGTTCTGGTTTAAATTTAACATAAGTCCTTAGTTTGTTATTAAATCGTGGATTTTGACTAGATGAAGATTTTGATTTCCATTGTGATTTGATCTTTAATGATAACTTTTGCTCCACCAGTTTTATGAAACGATTCTTAGAGTTTAGGTCAGTCAATTGTATCGTATCAATATCTAAGTCAATATTATCAAGGATATGTTTAATGTGAGTGTACCATTTACTCTTTGACTTTGTGTGAAGAAACACCTTTTTGACTAATCTCTCATCTGATAAAGTTTGAATATGAGCCCAATATTTTAACATGCTGAGTTGAATAAAGTATGACATAGGTAATCTTCCCAGTTCACCTAGAATAGCTAAGTTGCTACATGTTCTCGAGACTCCAAGGATCCATCGGCTACATTTTAGATTGATTATTTCAGTTTTTTTCCTGAAGTCAAAGTTATTAAGTATGTTAAAAGATGTGCCCCAAATTTCGCTACCATAAGTAAGAATAGGTTTGATGCATGCATCAAATAGATGTAAGATTAGCTTTATTGATTTGACATTAGCAGAATAAAGAGTGTGTTTTAGACTATTCCAAGCTTTTTGAGCTTTTAGGGCCAATTCCTGGCCAGCTAGCTTAACGCCATCTTTCGAGAATTTCAATCCCAGGTATGTGTAAGAGTCTGTGCTCTTTAGCTTTTTGCCATTATATAGGAACTCTTTTTTGATTTCTGTACCAATTGTTATGATTTTTGATTTTTCTACATTGATAGATAGTTTCCATTTGGAACAATAATCTTGAAGTTTTATCAGATTTCTCTGCATTTCATCATGTGATGTTGAAAAAATTACGAGATCATCAGCATATAAGAGTGAGTTTATCATAAAATCTTTAGCTACTGAGATACCATGATGCATCCCAGAGCTTAGAGTATCGACAATAATAATAACAAAGATTTTCATGGTTTATTGAATACTATATCTAGTATTTTCTGGATTCAAGTGCAGAATATTTACATCATTTCTATATGATCTAGCTTTGGGTTTAACTCCTGGATTCTCGTTCTTTTTGTATTGTTTTTATGTTGAACTGGCAAACGAAATGTTGCGCTTTCAATCTTCAGCGAATAAAAATACTTATTTGAAGATTGATCCACTGATAATATTCAAGTTTCAGGGAACTCGTGTATGCCTGCTATGTTTACATGAAATAAGTGAATAGTCCGGTAATATTAATTCCGTTTATAAATGTCACAGACTGTATTTTATTTTTAGTTAGCACAGAAAGGATCAGAAACAATAGGTTGATTGAGTCTGAAGTTATTCACATAAGAAAACATAAAAACTTCAATAGAGACATGGGCAACTTCAATTTAAACCGCTTGTGGGATGATCCCGGGGATGATGTAATATCGCCATAGCAATTATTTGACGTTGTTCGGTTCAATGGCGTAAAAAGTAGATTTACATGTACCTTAGATGTATTTTAACTGTTTTCACTTCAAGTTTTAATGATCATGGATGCAGTACCGTATGCATTTGAAACGTCTAAAATAAAGAAGACAGTCGGTGACAATGAACAGTAATAAACGGTACCTGTCATGTTAATTAATTTGCCTGATGGTGAAACTCGTAACTTCCTACTCGCATCTGGGTTATCCGCTACGCGGCGACGACTTACATGCAGGTCATGATGTGTTAAATCATAAAATCGAATAAAATTACATGTATATTGAATCATTTTTGTAGTATGTATGTGTAGCGGTGGTAGCCCAATAGACTGTAACTTTGATCAAGGATTGTGCCAAGGGTACACTGTTACTCCAAATGACAACAGTTTCCAATGGAAAACCGAGAGTAGGAGCTTCGGAAAGTATGGTACGTCTGATAAACTAGAAATACTATTTCAACTTTTAATTCAATTCATTTAAACCCCAAGTCATTAGGCAAGCAATAGTGATACCAATTAAATATGAGCACTTTCTGTTTTAGATAGAGAATTGGCCATTTTTACACCGAATGATTACTCATTCGACCATGGCTACGTCACCGTCCAAAACTCTGTGTGGATGCCGTTCCGCGTCCAGGCGTGTAACGACGCACATCTCGAGCTTTCTTCCGTGCCAGGTTTCTTGTTGAACCAAACATATGAGATAGTACTTGGGAGCGGGAGAAACACAAAGTCTGATATACGTGTCGGAAGACAGGTCAGTTTTAAGTAGTAATTGACATTATAATGAAAGTTGGGCAAATTGTCCAAAGGACCAGGTATAGTATGGCGACTGATTTTGGACAGCCGTGTATTTCACCATGAGAACTTTCTCGCCATAAATACAGCTATTTTATTAAAGAAAAATGGCTTCTTTCGAGTTAAGTCCCCGTTATAAAATAGATCCGACTCTCTCAAAAATTATGGATTACGACCCCACCTTTTCACTTTTAAAAAAATGTTAGGCTTATTTTCTCAAAAGAGGATCTTGTTTTTCTCAATTTAAATATATCAAACGTTTCTTCTCCACTATATTAAAACGTAATTTTGGTCATCTTCAAAACTAGATTTTCAATACCATTTTACTTTTGAGGAAGAATAGACCCATTGTTGAATAATATTTTCTCGCAATAAAAATCTGAAAAAGATCCTCTTAAATAGGTTCAATAATTTGAAATATGTTAACATGGTGTCCCTATTCATCATTTTTCGAATTGCTCGATTGATATTTTTATAATTCTTGAGAATTTACTAGAAAGATAAGATATTGTGTTAATGAGAAATGTCATATTTGAATTGATATAATATTCATGATTCAAAATATGACGGTCTAAAACCACTGCCATACTATACACGGTCCTTTAAAATGATCTAAAAGGAGACAACTGCATATAGTAATGCTTCTAAAATTGCAACCATTTTTAGAGTTTCTCTCTTCTCGTATTAAGTCTTTGCAATAATGAATCGATCGAAATGTTTTTGACTAAACAATTATAGTTTGCACTAAAACATCCTATAATATATCATTTAGGGTAGAGGAGGTGGAGGAGTTCGTGTTAATACCCCTGATATAATGAAATGCGCCGTGATGCAACAGTTCTGGGTGAGCTGGGAGAGTGGACTCATCCAGGTTGGAAGGGGTGCAATTTATGGCCAACAGACTTTCATGTCGTGGTATGATCCCAATGCATTCCCTGTCTATGGGATAAGTGTTGCAACTGGTTGGGGCGCTACCGCCGAGTGGAGGCTCCCCCTAATGCCCGGTAAATTCTATAATACATTTACACTCCCCTCCATAAGTTTGGCAACCTTTGCTCCCCCATTGAACTACGTGATAAAGCCTCTTTACCTTTGGATTTTTATTTACTTATCCTGCGGTGGAAATACTTAATACTATTGATTGAAACGTAATTGACTTTATTTCCAATACCTTCAAATTTTCTCAATTTTTTTCCTCAATTACAATAGGTCGAAAATTGATGATTTTGATGAATTTTTGAAAATCGACATTCCCATGTTAACATTTTCTTCAAGCTTGAACTAAACCTCATCCTTATCAACAATTAAATGCAATCTTATAGATCATCAAACTGTCATCAGTACGCCGAATGATTACGAGTTCAACCATGGTTGGATTCGTGTTGATGACCGCCAGGACTTCCTCTTCAGTGTACAAGCGTGTAATGATGCGCATCTTGCCCTTAGTGCTGAACCCGGTAAAGAGGATTCAGACACATATGAGATTGTTCTCTCCGGATATAGCGGGACGAGGTAATAAATGCATTATTGACGCCTGGTTTGTGAGTCACACAGCATTGGGATGCTCAATCGAATCTGATGGGACTAACCTTATTTTTATTTTTCTACCTTGAAAAAATTCCTGACAAGGCGCACACAATTTTGTTCGATTATAGATATTCACGAGTATATATACAATAAACATTTCAAGTTTTTTTTTGTTTTATTTTAAACAGGCAAATCTATGCAATTTCTTATGAAACCTTTTAGATCTGATATTCGTGACGCGAAACAAGGAACAGTTCGTGCAAGTGCAAACACACGAAACTTCCTCAGTTGTAACGAAACGAGGCCTTTCTGGGTGAGCTGGAGAAATGCTTACATCGAAGTGGGAAGAGGATATATAATTGGTCAAAACCGGTTCATGACATGGCTAGATCCTGTTCCACATCCCGTAAATGCTATATCTTTTGCAACGGGATGGGGATCAAGTGCAAAATGGTCAATTTATGAAGAACAAGGTAAATCAACTGCTTTCATTGTAAAGTATAGTCCAGTTTAATAATCTCATTAGTAGAATATATATAGGGAGCAGCAATATGAAAGTCAAGAGAACGATACATTAGATCGACATCTGAATTTTGTATTTTGTAAAATGAAATGCACACTCGGGAATACATACTAAATATTCGAAATATTCCTTTACTATTGTAGGTCGACCGGTAACAATATATACACCGAATGACTATAACTTCGTGCACGGTTGGATAACAACGTATGGTCTAAATCAGATAGTGTTTGAAATCGAAGCATGCAGCGATGCCCATATACAATTACCACTCGATCCTACAAACACTGCTGTAGATGTATACGAAGTAGTCCTAGGAGGCTGGGCAAATACACAATCAGCCATCAGGGACAGAAAAATGGGAGAACTAAAGACTCAGGCTGCGACTCCAAACATCTTAAACTGTGACGAATTTAGGAAGTTTTGGATAAGCTGGAAAGGTGGTTTGATACAGGTTGGAACGGGCTCATTGTACGGTATCAACCGTATCATGTCGTGGCAAGACCCAGCTCCTCATCTTGTAAATGCTGTGAGCGTTGCAACGGGATTTGGTCATGAGGCGATATGGAGATTACCGGTTTTTCCAGGTACTATTTTCGCTATACTAGCGATAAATCCTACTGTAGTAGTAGGATTTATCAAGTCCTTGACAACAGAAACAAGTCCCATAAATATGTCGTGTCCTAATATAGAATCGTAGTATCCCAAAAAGAAAAACATGGTACGAATTGTATTAGTATTAAAGAGATATTGTGTCAAGGCTAGTTTCCCAACATGAACATATATCAATTACAGGTCGAGAAACCCATATAATGACACCAAATGACTATATCTATAACCATGCCTGGACACCTGTGCACGACCTCCAATACAAAGTATTTAGAGTAAAGGGGTGTAATGATGTTCACGTTGCTCTTATGGCCACACCTGGACGGGATGAATCAGCCATGTACGAGATCGTCATCGGGGGCTGGGGAAACACTCAGTCGGTAATCAGAAACAAGAAACAGGGCCGGAATCTCTTTACGGCGAAAACAAAGAACTTCCTTAATTGTGAAGATTTTAGATCATTTTGGGTGGGCTGGAAAGATAACAAGATTGAAGTCGGAAGAGGCTTGGTGTACGGGCAGCAGAGATTCATGATTTGGGCAAGACTAAACACGTACCAATTCAAAGCATTGTCGGTCAGCACAGGGTGGGGTAGCACTGGAGAATGGGTATTCTTTGAGCAATCTGGTAAGTATTACGGAAAGCATACAGGGTGATCTACTAAAAATGCAACCCATGAATCGAATAGACGTAACATTCATCCACATTGTGAAAACTTCTAGATAAAGACTATATATTTCTTGATATAAGTCGATTTCTTCGTTACCGAGGCGTTCATAATAATTTATCATTGCCAATTTCTAGGGCGTCTGAACTATATGAAGCCACGGAACGATCATACTGCAGCAGGTGGGAGAGAAATGGCAATTTACACCCCAAATGACTATAACTTCAAGCATGGGTGGTTTTCTGTTCAAAACACCAATCACATTGTCCTTAAAATACAGGCGTGCAATGATGCACACATTGCCCTAATGACTACTCCCGGGGTTGATTCGGCAGACACGTATGAAATTGTAATCGGAGGTTGGAGAAATACGAAAACAGTTCTCAGACCTTCCAAGGGAGGAAAGCCAATGGCAACTGCCCTTACGAGGGACATTCTGAGCTGTGACGAGCTGCGTTCGTTTTGGATTAGTTGGTATGATAAGTCTATTGAAATTGGAAGTGGAAACGTGTATGGAATGAACAGGATTATATATTATCCAGATCCTAATTTCCATGATGTGAATGCGATATCTTACGCGACAGGTTGGGGAAGTAGCGCCGAGTGGAGACTCACTGTTAGCGAAGGTATGGTTATCGCTTTGAAGTGGTCTTTATATAGCCCAGTTGTCACTGTAGATTGAAATGGACATTGTTCGTAAAACATTCTCACGAAGACGGCTTCTTTTTTGGCGTTCTTCCGATTCACTAAGATAAACAACATTTTCATCTGAGTATGTATGTCAATCATGTTAGCTATGCAAGATTATTCAATAGGAAATCAATGCGTTGATCATCCGTGGGATCATGAATGAGCTGTATAGTATGTTTTAATATGCAACAATGAAAGACATTTAATTAATCATTTACCAGGTATGAGTGCTGCTATTCTTACACCGAACGACTACTCTAATAAGCACGGATGGGTAAAAGTACATGATGTGACATCTATTAACATCCAAGTGAAGGCTTGCAATGATGCTCACATTTATCTAATGGCAACTGCCGGGATAGATACTGAGCTCACGTATGAAATTGTCCTCAGTGGATGGGGAGGTACCAAGTCTGTCATACGCGACGCTAAACAAGTATGTTTTCCTGATAGTAACAGATTCATATACTCTACTCGGTCTAGAATTATCTAGGGATAGACTTTATATGTCAAAGTTAGAATGATGTATTTGAAATTTCAGAGTACAATACGTGAAAAATAAAATATAAATATAGCAAATATAGCAATTTTGGGTCAAAATGTACTGTATACATTTGAATGAACTTTACAACACATGTATAGTAACAACCTAAAATAATTTAAAAAGAGATATCAAATACTATGTTTGAACAGGGCAATATAATGGCTGAAGCAGACACTACAGGTTATTTGGATTGTGATTCGCTCCGGAATTTCTGGGTGTCTTGGACAGATGGGTGGATTAAGGTTGGAAAGGGATTTGACGGTCAGAATGAGTTCTTGGGCTGGCAACACATAAATCCACGGGTGATATCAGCGGTGGCTTTTGCATCCGGATATGGCGCTGCGGCGGAATGGAGATTTGTAGAACCACAAGGTTTGAGTGTTTTATTTTATGCCAATAAAGCGGGAAGCGTTATCTTTTTATATTTAAAACCATATTTGAAGCGTCATTGGTACCTGACTATCAAGATCCCCGTTTCGTTGAAATACATTGTGTGCCCTATTTGGTAATAATCATGGCAAGATATGTATGCAGAGTTCATATAGATGAACCATGTGTTGCGTACCAAGACATGAAGAATTTAATGTGCTCGAATGAGATACATTCATATGCCACATGAATGCCAACATGAATGCTGTAGAAGACGCGATCATTTTAGATCGTGTTGTCAAAATTCACAATAACAGATCTGCTCATTGACATTTGTAATGTGAAATTGTATGAAAGACGATATTCAATGTGTTTCATCAGCAAAAGTAGCTCTCAATCTGTAAATAGTCCTTATTTCACATTACTCAGACTTAAGAATATTTGTTTTATTATTTATGAATATTTTATCGTCATATCTTATTACAACTTATTTCTAATTTTCATGGCATTTAGTTCATAGAAACACTTTTATGTGCCATTTTGAATGGCAGGGGAATCATAAAAACTTGGATATACGATTGTTATTCTCTCTCGCAGCAGACATAACGTGTTTGCCGTAACATGATTCAATGGCATTCCCATGTATTCATGTTGTTTATTATAGCCAGTTCAATGAAACATTTTGACCATTTTAGGGAGAGTAACCTCTATAAAGACAATAAATGACTATTATTTCAAACACGGTTGGGTGTCGACACAGGAGACTACCTTCATGCCATTTCAAATACAGGCATGTAATGATGGTCATATCCAGCTTCAAGGTATTATCGGAGATATTACTCAGCAAACCTACGAAATTGTGCTGGGAGGAAATCGAAATCGAAACTCGATGATTCGAGCTAAATCACGTGGTCCAGATATGATCCGTGTCAAGACAGACCAGTTCCTTAATTGTACGGAAATGAGACCATTTTGGGTATCGTGGGCAAATGGTAATATTGAAGTTGGTAGAGGATTTGTGTATGGTATGGATAGATTCATGGCATGGCAAGACCCCAGTCCTCATCCAGTCAATGCACTTTCGTTTGCTACTGGCTGGGGCAGCACTGCTGAGTGGAGGATCCCAACAGCTCCAGGTAAAAGAAAATACCATGTAAATGGTCTTTGATGAGACCGGCAGTTTCATTTCTTACATCTTGCAGGTAGAATTTTTTATGAAAAAAATGTCTCGTGGTATAGAATAATGGTTTCTGAAAGGATAAGAACGGGGTGTTAGATACTGGGATTTTCGGGTTTGTTCTTTATGATGCTTTTTTTACATTATTATTCAATCCCCTTTGAAATTGTAAAACGTTACAGCATTCTATCATATTACAAAATGGTTTGGTTTATATTGGCTATAAGAGTATTTTCATAACCTTTTCTTTATAATTTTCTTTATAATCATTCCATTCCTTCTGCATACTAGGTCATTCCACTCAAATTATGACTCCTAATGACTATAAATTCGAACATGGATGGATGGATGTCCGTGACAGAGTTGGACAAACATTCCGGGTACAGGCTTGCAATGATGCTCATCTGGCCCTGACAGAAGTCAAACAAGATGGAACTGGGAGAATTTATGAGGTCCACCAATCATTGCTTAGTTCAAATATCAAATTATGAACCCTTTTTAATCATGCTTATCTGAAGCAAACACTTTAATCGACAAAGCTAAATGATTAATTTCCAGACAGTTTACCAAACTGTTATTGGTCGTGATTGGCAACATTATGAAGCCGGTGGTCTTCAATTTTAATATAACTATAATCAACTCGTTCAAGGAGTTTTGTTCCTGAATGATACATACACATACATAATAATACATACGTATATAGTACAGAATCTTGATACATTTTCAAAGAATGGTGTAACATTGTGAGCGTATGTTCGGTGCACAGCTTATTATGTCAATGGCATTAGCAAAATTGAATCTGTTAAACCACGGTGTCGAATCAATTTCAGCTTGTCCTTGGGTCTTATGCGAACCAGAAAACCAACATCAGAGACTGCAAATCGTGTGGTGACAAGGCTATAGTCGACACTCCTGATATTATGCAATGTAACCAAACTTTAGACTTTTGGGTGAGATGGGACTCAGGTTTGATAGAGATGGGAAGAGGAAATGTATTTGGCGTGGATAGAATTATATTTTGGCAGGACCCAAATCCGCACAGGGTTGACATAGTTTCTGTTTCCACTGGTTGGGGATCGACCGCAATTTGGGCATTTGACGAACCAGCGGGTAAACAGCAATACTAATTTTTTGAGTTCCTAAAGTTTGAAAAAAGAGACACATACAGTGTATCATCGATTTTAAAGCAAAACTCTTATGCGTTATACAGTTAATGGTATATATTTTCACTTTAGGACAATATGCCTATGCAGATGTTAATTATGGTACAAGCAGTGACACTAGTAACCTTGTTTCACCAACGCTTCCGCCTAACAGTCTCGACTGCCTAGAAGCATATTATCACATCCAGGTACACAAGGGAATTTTCAGATTTCACATTCAGATAAACAAGTACTTTCTTGTGTTGGAAGCTTGATTAGTGGTGTGTTCGTTAATTCGTTATGTGCGTTTACAATTTTAGGATCCCAACAGCGGTTCCCTTAACGTGAGGTTTTCTGAGGCCGGGGGTCAAGTAATAATCGACGAAAAACGTCTCCCTGCCTCTGCTACGGATGGTTGGAATCACGCCCTCGTCCCTGTAAATTCAAATGGACAAAGTTTTCAGATCATATTTGCGGCTATGCACGGATATGGTTCAAAGGGGTATATATCAGTTGATGATGTCCGACTACTGGCAGGGCAATGTTCATTTTATGGTAAGATAATGATTACGCCATGACCAACTTTTTAACCGTAGTCTGAATAGCCTAGCTTTCCTAGTATAAGTCTCAAGGCTGAAACATGTACATAGCTCAAACATTTAAATAGAGAGAAATGTATTTCTTGTATGATGATACAATCAATGAAACGTGGTATAATGTTGGTACATTGTACTTGTATATTATACTTGTATACTATAAAGTGTAACTTATTTCATAATATTGTCATGCATTAATTTTAGATACCAACAAAACGACGATGCCAGTCAATATTCTGCCAACCCCTCAACCAGACCCAACAACTACAACAAGAGCTCCAGTCGTTACGCTACCACCCCCAGTCCCACCAGCGTCTCCTACAGCTGGAGATTGCAATTTTGAGGAGGGAACTTGCGGATACACTGTTAACCCCTGGGAATCAAATAAATATCATTTCGAAAAGGAAGATGGCGGTGCCCTCTTTGCGGGTATGCGTCACGGTTTTCTAAAATGCCACATTTTTCATAAGTAAAGTCATTGACCTTGTTATAGCTAAGTCGGGGACCATTATGTTTTGGAATTGTTCTTTGTTCTTTCCCGTTTCTCTCCCCTTTTTATTTGTGCTTCTATATATCGATGTGTCTATTTGACATACCGAATTAACAACTTGAACTAGGATATGTATGTAATACTTTTATAAGGCATACTCAATTTGATGGCAGGTAAAAAGATGGCGATCTACACACCGAATGACTACGACTTCAAGCACGGTTGGGTGACAGTTACTGGGTATGACTATATTGAATTTACGGTAAAGGCCTGCAATGATGCCCATATCTTGCTGTCTAATATCCCAGGTGAAATAGATGAGTTGGTCATTCAGGTCATCATTGGTGGGTGGAAAAATACAAAGAGCGCCATCCGAACGGGAAGAACAGTCGGGACACCTATAGTAAAACAAACAAACACCCCAAATATTCTTGATTGCAACGAGGCTAGAAGCTTCTGGTTGAGTTGGAAGAATGGTCGGATTAGGGTTGGTCAGCATGGGCTCTACCAGGATCAGTTCTTACAATGGTCCCAGCCCCGGAATAACCCAATCAACTCTATATCTGTCGCCACTGGTTGGGGTAGCTGGGGAGATTGGAGACTACCAGTTTTGATGGGTACAGTAATAATAATATAATAATATAAATATCTAATGACCTTCAATAACTTAAATTATATGAAACGATGCTATTTGACGCATACAAAATATACATACAATACAGACATTAGTTAAAATAATAGGAACTTAAGCTTGGGATTCATTCTCGATTATTTGAAGCCTTTGTATTTTCATTATATTTTCATGAAACGTTTAGAACGTTAGCGCTATAGCCCGCGTGCGTTTTATGAAAATGGATTTGAAATGGCTGTCCAGTCCGCCTGTTTTACCATAGTCGGTTATACCAATAATGTTGTAAACATTCTAATTGTAGGACAAAGCAGCACGCTATTTACTCCTAATGACTATGCATTCAGCCATGGCTATTTGGAGGTGGACGACAAAACGTGGATGATATTCGACGTCCAGGCCTGTAGTGATGCACATTTAGCATTGGCTGCAACATCTGACGACTTTAGTAAAAACACTTATGAAATTGTGATTGGGGGATGGAGTGGTACGAAGTCTGTTATAAGGGACGCGAGAGGGGGTGGCGTCATGGCTGAGGCTGAGACTTTAGATATTGTAACCTGTGAAGAGTTCAGGTCATTCTGGGTAAGCTGGAAGAACGGCCTTATTGAGGTCGGAAAAGGCAAGACACATGGCGTAGGACGCTTTATGTTCTGGACAGACCCAAATGCACATGTTGTGAAGGCACTAAGTTTAGCTACAGGATGGGGCAGTAGAGGAAAATGGACATTATATCATCCAATAGGTATCGGATATTATATAAAGTTTTTTTTCCAGAAACGTCTAATCTGTATTTTAGCCATTATTAGTAAAGAAATGAAAAGATGAATACTGTTCATTTGAAATATTCAAATGATATGCATCGTTTTCAAGGCCGAGAGGTAAGGATTCAAACTCCGAATGACTACAGGTTTGATCATGGGTATGTGACGGTCGGAAGTTCTACAAGCTTACTGTTTAATGTGAAAACTTGTAACGACGCTCACTTGGAACTCCTAGAGAGGCCGAACCTCATTGATTGCAATGTTTATGAAATTGTCATTGGTGAGTATATCGTTTATTAATTTGAATACCATATTAACATCAGGTTTTTACGACAAAATGTTCCCGCGAACAATGAATCAGTACCAATCAGTTACATTAATATGCAATCCAATGTTTTTCAATGAATCTTTTTCTAAACAAACGATTGTAAATTGTATTGCTAATGCATCGGCCTATTTGTGTATTACATGAAATTGTTGCCATAGGATGCTGTGGTGGTAGAGGAACGAGTATAAGAAATAGGCGTCTAGGGCCAAACAAACAATCTGCGTGGACCCCGAATGTACTAGCGTGTAATGAAACCAGACCATTTTGGGTTAGTTGGGACGGAGGCGTAATAGCTGTTGGGGAGGGAAGTCTTGTGGGCGTGAATGGCATCATTGCATGGAAGGACCCAGATCCACATGGGGTGAAGGCGGTTGCGTTTGCTTCATGGAGTACGGCCTCGGCTGAATGGTCTGTCCAGTTGTTACCTGGTAAGTGATGCACCTGATCAGCATGCTGTCTTCTCTTCTCTTATTCTTTATGCTTTGCAATCATAACATACACAAATGTTTCTGGAAATTACATTTACAAGTCGCATACCAAAACAAGTCTCCATTAATTCCCGTTTAAGGTCAAACCTCAGTGGTTAACACTCCGAATGACTACACGTTCAACCATGGCTGGGTAGGAGTTCAAGATCGTACAAGTGCAGTATTTGACGTCCAGGCGTGCAACGACGCCCACTTGGCACTTTCAACGGAACCAGGGAATGGCGATGTGAACACGTATGAAATAGTTATAGGGGGATGGGACGGTACAAAATCTGCAATAAGGGAGTCAAAGCAAGGACAAACTGTGGTATTTGTAGACACTCCTGATATACTTAACTGTAATGTATCAAGAACATTCTGGGTAAGTGTACATTTCATTTTGATTTCAAAAAGTAGTTTGTGTTTGTACAAATAACTTGAAAAGTATCTTACAGTGAGGATAGTACGGTCCCTTAGATATAGAATCGTTATTATATATAACACGTGACTGAGCAAAAAATCTGCAATTATTAGATAAATTGGCGCTTATTTGTTCATGTTCGTGTACTGGACAAAATAAGTAATTGATTATGGCTCGAGATTTGAGAACACTTGATAATGTGAAATTCCGAGCAAAGCTCGTTCCAGTATTTTAATACATTCGCTCTTGATTGAGTTATTTCATGTTCCTGTTGTTACATTATTATTTTTTACCTTTAGGTGTCGTGGCTCAATGGCGCAATCAATGTGGGGCGCGGGCCAGTGGTTGGAATGAACTCGTTTATGTCGTGGACTGATTCCGATCCTTATGTTGTCAATGTTATATCTGTAGCCACTGGCTGGGGCAGCTCTGCCATTTGGAAATTCCAACAGGATCTGCGTAAGATTTGTGTTAAAGCAATCTGAAGTAGAAACACCTGATTTTAGAAAGTGTAGATGTTTGAAATTGAGGAGGCATGATTGGGCAATGGGTCATATATTTACTTATATTGTGTCTACATATGTTATTTATTAATCGTTGTGCGTTTCAGCTGCACTTGTTGATGTTGTAAGGCCAATACAGGATCATACTTCGCTGTCATGTAAGCATATTCCCCTCAAACTTATAAGTTATTGAATGATTTGAAGTGCAATATAGGATTCATATATTCAGCTCTGTATTGGAGACGAAGTTGAGTGCCAATACAGAATATCGACATGGAATATATCCTGCATTGAACTTCGAATCATTAAATAACGTTTGACGTGTGACCTTAGGCAAAACATTTACTTACTAAGGAGATAATCCCTAAGAAATACTCTGTATTCTCTGTATTGCTACTGAGATTGTCCCCGCCCCCGTACCAATATTTTCTGTATTGCTACTGCGATGATCAATGGAGACAATTCCAGTACCCATACAAATCGGTACAGCACAAGAACTGACCAATCAGAGGGCTTCATCATACAATAACATTTCTTATTCTCATTTGGCATAATACTAAGCGTACTTCAAATGAATCTTGTATTAGAATATCATCACATTGGATTATTTGGAAGTTGCTTATTTCATCCACATGATTGCAAGAATCGAATGTATTGTAGCCCATGAAGTCCAAATAAACACGCCAAATGACTACAATTTCAAACATGGCTGGGTTGCTACGGGAGATACAAAGTTCTTTACTTTCGCTGTCCAAGCCTGTAGTGACGCCCATCTAGAACTCCAAGCTACCCCTGGAGATACAGATAACCTCAATTATGAGATAGTAATTGGTGGCTGGAGTAACACGCAGTCAGTTATCAGGACACGCAAGATGGGACCTAACGTAGCAGTTTTCCAGACGCCAAACCTATTGAGCTGTAGTGCGTTCCATCTGTTTTGGTTGAGCTGGGCCGGCGGTGTAATTGAAGTAGGAACCGGATCCTCGTATGGGGCTGGAAGGTTTCTAGGGTGGCAAGATCCTAACCCACATGCCGTGACTGCCATATCTATGACGACTGGCTATGGTAGCAACGGAGTGTGGCGGTTTCTACACTCATCAGGTGTGAATAATACGACATATTATAGATAGTTATATATAGCCATCCTTCGATTCTATTTCTTAATAAATAAAGAACGAAAGAAAACAAAAGTTTTCATTAGGCTTATATAAATATATATCTAATTATCTATCCGTGGCATGCATAGCATATTATTATTATATTATTTATTTCCAATTACAGATAAGAGTGTGCTCATCAATACTCCTAATGATTATGAATTCGTTCACGGCTATATGAACGTCCACGACCGAGTTGGAGTTCAGTTTGAAATTCAGGCATGTAACGACGCTCATATTGCATTAGAGTCCAAACCTAGTGTGGTTGGTGTACCACAAGCGTACGAAATCGTATTAGGAGGATGGTCAAATACCAGGAGTGTTATAAGAGATGGTAAACAAGGGACAGAGAAGGTAACGGTCGACACACCAAACTTGTTGAACTGCACTGTTTTCTTACCTTTTTGGGTAACTTGGCAAAATGGCATAATTAGAGTCGGGAAGGGGTTCTCTTACGGCAGAAACTTACTAATGGAGTGGCAGGATACCACCCCTAAACCGGTCACTGTGATCTCCGTAGCAACTGGTTGGGGGAGCACAGCTAACTGGAACTTCAGGGAACCGACAGGTGAAATGATTCATCTTTTTTGTTGAATTATCTTTTAAAATTACTCTTCCAAAGCTTCTTAACAGCATAGCAGCATAGATAGGATACCTCAATCATTGAGTCAATGCACCTATTATTTTATACCATGAAGTCATGTGTCAATATGTTTTTTTATGAAGGGCGTGAAGTACGAATCATGACTCCAAATGACTACAACTTTAATCATGGCATGCTGAAACAGACAGGGACCCACATGATATTTAAGGTGATGGCATGCAACGATGCCCATATTGAACTCCAGGAAGACACGATAAGAAATAGGGAGAATGTTTATGAAATTGTTTTGAGTGGTTATGGGGGAAGTCGCTCAGATATTCGTACGGGGAGAGGTGGTCCCGCTATGTCATATGCACCGACTAGTGGGTTTTTAAGCTGCACAGAATTTAAATCATTTTGGATAGGGTGGGAAAATGGCTTCATTCAAGTTGGACAAGGCACTGTATTTGGTGCAAACAGATTTATGGCTTGGCAGGATCCAACACCACACCAGGTGAACATCATTACATTCGCTACAGGATGGGGAGCAACTGGAGTTTGGTCTGTCTCACTTCCACCAGGTATCAGATTTTGATGCATTGTTTGCGTCATTCCGATATACATTTAAACCATGTACTTTTGCTGGTATCTCATTCATATGGATTCGGAACTATGAATAGCAAATGTTAATCAATATGAGATGAAGTATCTGTAGTTGGTTTGAATGATGCATTCGTTGTAGTTTAACGAAGTTTTGAAAAACAATGCCTGAAAGGTCGTTTATTCAATATTTTTGATGTTTTATGTATCTTACCCGCAATTATTGTTTTAATTATTGCGATTCTATGCGACTAGTATTAACTACATATTACCAAAAAATAAAGATTCGACACTTCGAAAATACAACAAAATATATATTTTATTATACAGCTGGTCTTGTTGATATATTGACGCCTAATGATTACAAATTTGAACATGGTTGGCTTATGGTGTCTGATCGCACATGGATGCCCGTACAAATCAAAGCTTGCAATGACGCGCATTTTGCTCTATCGGCGCAGCCAGGAGATGGAACTGTTGAAACGTATGAGATCGTACTTGGCGGGTACTCTAACCAGAAGTCAGATATAAGGGCGGTCAAACAAGGTCCTCCGATGAATCAAGCTGAAACCCCTGATCTGATGAAGTGTGATCTGACGCTTACTTTCTGGGTCAGTTGGAAGGGTGGTTTGATTGAGGTTGGACATGGGGGTGTGTACGGGAAAAATAGATTCCTCAACTGGCAAGATCCGAACCCGCATCCTGTCAATGCCTTCTCTGTGGCCACGGGGTGGGGGAGCACCGGCATGTTTAGATTCAAGGAATCCCCAGGTATATTATGACTGGCAATGAAAAATCAAACTGAGATAATGGCACAAATTCAAAATCAGGAAAATATTGGTTAAGATAAACAGCTAACAGATAAATAATAATTTTTATTATTTGAAGAGATTGAGCAGTTATGTTAAGTTAAAAATATTTTTTTCCTTTTGTCTGTATTTATTATTTTGAATTTAGGCTCCTATATGATCGCCGACTCTGTAGTTGGCACAACACGTGATACAGCCATTCTAACATCACCACCGATCTCACCAATGTCTTTGGCCTGTGCCGAAGTATATATTATGTTAAGTGGTACTGATATTGGCGAATTCAAAATGGGATATGGGTATCCTGGAGACTCAACTCCCCAATGGCAAATTATGACTGGTCCATTTCAGACAGGTGGACAATGGATCCCAATAAGGATGGCCATAGATCAAAGAAGAGAATTTCAGGTATATACACAGTGCATAACATGCATCAAATGTAACTATTTATTGTAACAAATTCCACTCATATTTTTTGATAGACAGATTAAAAGTAAGTTTGATCGACAATTTAAAAGTAAAATCGGGGAATACTCGTTTGATCACTGCTACCATTTTGATTTTTATCTGTAAAATGTCCTTTTGATAACGTTTACAATTGTATTTTGCGTTTTAGCTTATGTTCCTTGCAGCGGAGGGTCTTGGGTATAGCGCGACAATTGCGATTGACGACATTAAGATCTATAACGAGCTTTGCTTTACATACGTGAACCCTATGCCGACCCCCGGTACACTGTCCACTCCTGCATTCACAGGAACAACGACAAAATTCACACTTCCCGTACAGACAACCACGAAAGGACGTTTCACATTACCTCCACTGGTAACTACACGCCGGCCGATATTTACATTCCCACCAAGGACAACATCAAAATTTACAATCCCACCAAGGACAACATCGAGATTCACATTCCCTCCGTGGACCTGGAAGCCCGTAACCACTCGTCCCTGGTCTCCGGTCAGCACCCCAGGAAGAATCAGTGGAACGCAGACTCCCAAGACATCGGTGAACGCAGCTGCTATCGTGATACCAATACTAATAGTACTGATTATTGCAGCCATTGCAATTTTTATATTCTCTAAAAAACGAAAGGGCGAAGATTGGAAAGAAAGTATCAAAAAAATTTACAACAGGAATCCTTCTCACCAACGATTTGATAATCCGAACTCAGTAAATTATTCTCAAGGTGGGGGTGTTGGTGGATTAGATAACCCAACATACGGGACAGGTTCAAGTAGTGTATCCGGACTTCCTTCCACAAAGAGTGAAGCTTAGTTCCAAAAGCATTTAGACAGCACAGCATTCTCGAGCCACAGAAATAAGTGTGTTGTTATATTGTTGGAGTGTTTTCCGATAAAAGGTGTGCCGTGGGATTAAGCTCACGGGTTTATGTATATATTATTACCTATGAGTCTAAACTTCTTCCATCGTGACAATGCTGGTGAAACTTGAAAATGTCTGTCCTTCGGAGTAGCCATCCATGAACTGAATAGAACTATTCTACTACTTATTTCGAGGTCAAAAAGTTTTACGAAGATTTTCGTTACCGTATGTGCTTGCCTAAATGCTAATAATAGATATGTAAATAATTGTATGTCATGTCGTGAAGTTCATATGCGTTTTAGATGAAATACATTTTAGACCCACAAGTATATTTTACTGGTCATAATAAATTGGAACAATTACTTTTTGATAAATCTCGTTTCTAGAATCTAAGTTTACTTTCGAAATCGTAATATCGATGTCATTTGTGAATTCTACAAAGCAATACAGAAGAGCTATAATACATCAATTCTAAGAAATTGTAATACAATGGTTGGAAGCCATCATTGTGGCTATACTGTTATGTCATTTATTCGTATGTGTTATCAACTTGCAATTTAAATAACATTTTATGGAGGGGCTGGCCATACCTGTAGTTACAAATTATTATTAATGAGAATTTACCGAGTAATTGTTGTAATTTACCGAATAAGTTTTGTCTTCCATTTTCATTTGTTTTGAATTTACAAAGTTACAAGTCACAGGTTTTTATATGATTTATTTCCTAATTAAACAGTCTTCACCACAAACCACACAACATAATATCACATATACAGGGTGACCCAAAAAATGCAACCCTCCATTTCTTCAATATTTTTCTTAAATGGAACTTAATTGCTCTGCAATTTGGCACACAAGGACTTCATTCAATGTGGGATCCTCTGGCAAAGTTTCGATAATCAAAGTCTTATATTGAGAGAGTTATGGTCGTTCCAAAATATGCTCCAAATGTCGTCCATTTCCAATGTTAGGTTTTCCGATAAATCACATTCTCTTCTTTCTGAACATGTAAACTCAAGAAATAATGTGTTCTGGGATCACAAATTCCGGATGAAGTGCTTCAAAGGCCCCTTCATTCTGTTATATGCACAGCTTGGGCTGCCAATTTCCAAACATGAAATCATCAGCCCCTTTTGGTTTGAGGTTGATAATGGCAACACTGTTACTGTTAACACACAGCGCAATATTGGCGTTCCCAGGAAGTTCTAGGCAGTTCTAGAGTGACATAGAGGCTTCAATAGACAAGAACAGTGGTTCTAGAAGGATGGAACTACTCCTCACACTTCTAATGATAGCATAGCCTGGCTCACTAGTCATTTCTATGAGAAGATTATCTCTCCTAGGACGGAGAACCCATGGTCATCTCACAGTCTTGATCTCAATGCCCCTGACTTCTATATATGGGGTTATGTAAAGGATAATGTGTATGAAAATAACCCTTCCGCAATTGCAGAACCCCAACAAGCAATGGCTGCAAAGCTTTGAGCCTTACCCATGAGGAAGAATGCATCCGTGTTATGAACAGTTTTCCTTGAACATTGCAAGTTTGTTTTCAGAGAAATTGACGACATCTTGAGCATATTTTGAAACAACCATAACTCTATCAATACAAGACTATGATTATTAAAACTTTGCCAGATGATCCCACATTGAATGAAGTCCTTGTGTGCCAAATCTTTACCTGCATTTAAGAAAAATATTGAAGAAATGGAGGGTTGTATTTTTTGGGTCACCCTGTATTATAGGATTAAATTCGAACCAGCAGCCCGCGTTTATTGGAATAGCGTTAAGTACATCTGATACAAAGAATGAGTGAAAAATGAAAAGATGAAGCCAGTTCGCGATGCATCCAGGTACCTATGACGGCCACGATGCCAATGTCATAGCGGCCACGATGCCGATGGCATTAATGCCAGAAACCTTAAAGGTTCAAATATACCCCACATCCGTCCTCGGCTCACGACCTCGCTGCTTATTTACGATGTTAACTGCCTTCAAGACATCAATAAGACACCATGGACCTAATCAAAACATGTAAATCCAACAACCCATATCCAATGATCGACTGTCATTAAAAGCCACTGTGGCTACACGTTTGTTAACACGTCAAAGATCTCAAATAAAATATAAATTCACAAATTTTGGAATAAACCAAATTCTAAATTATGACTGTACAATTGTATGTCAACTTGCCCTATAAAAAACTTGTATAAGGACCATACGCGTATATAGAGCCGTCTAGCACTATGCAAAATCTGTGAGTAATATACCTCACTATCTAATACACTAATCACACACTGTCATTAATGCATAATAATAATCTAAATCACTGTCTACAGACTTGCACTGTAACCATAACATTGCCTTTTGGCAAAAACGTAACTTAGCAAGTTAATGAAACTTACTTCCTTAATAGACTGTCGTAATATTCGACATTGTTGGTCCAACAGACAAAAATTCCGTGATTATCACAAGAATATACGAACGGACGTATACAAAATTCTCCGATCTTCTAAACTATTGTGATGAACAATATAAAAGCACCATGCTTTGCAGATCTAAACCCTTATACCAGCTGATCTGGTATTGCAACAAAAGCAAAAATACAATTCATCGAAACGTTGTAAATCTAAAAACTATAAGAACTGTTTAATATAAAATACAATTAGCTGACAAGCACGTCTCTTAATGTGTTTGTCACACTAATATAACACAACTACTTGAATGTTGTTAAGGAACACAACTATCATCTAAAATACCAACACTTGATGCCCTTCTGGAAATAGATATTTTATATCTCAAAATATGAAGGGCTTTCGGATATAATCAATATCTTAAAAAGCAAAACGTTGTGCCTTCCTCGAAACAATATGACAGAAACGCACTTAAATACATGTTATTCACTTAGATACAATGCGCTGTCAGTAAAAAGCCATGCCTTGAGATTCAGATTTATATGCAAATTACATAATTGCTTTTAAGAAACCTGATATCTAAAAGTTTTAATTAACTTAATTAACATCCTATATTATGCAATGCATTGTAATAATTGCAGAATAATATACTTCCAAAAATAGTAATAAATGGTGACAGGTTACCTCAACGTCAGAACACGTATACTTTATTCAAAAACATTGATTTGGTCGATAGCACTTACAAGAAAGTGTTCATTGACTTCAGTATGAAAAACTTTAGTTTATCGACCTGACACCGTTAAAACCCAGATCAAAATCTTTGTGACTTTCGAAAGGGAAAAAGGTATGCCTCCTCGAACAATAAAACTAAATTTTCGAATTGGTTGTATGACAACTTACAACATTAACTAAAACTGTGTAAACGCTTCGGTTGCTACTCGCAGAATAACACGATCCCATCGTGCATCTACTCACATAACCTACTCATGAAATAAAAAGTTCCAACCATCCTAACTCAGCCACCAGACTTCGATCACCTGGATTATTGCACACCCCTCCTCTTTACTGTTATCACTGTATCATGCATTAATTTACACGTATAGAGAGAACATGATTTACGTGTACGATCTATCAGACCTCTGAAACTTCATCTGATAATAAAATGTTATTATTTAGTATATTTATTTTGTAGCAAACATATTATTAAACCAGAGCATACGAATAAGCCCTAGCCAAAAAGGGCCAATTCCCTCGTCGATATGCTTAACCCTCTTCATAATTGTTCGCAATAAACACTTAATCGCTGCATGCATATGTGACAGTTGTCATAAATATTCGCTTGTTTTGCAATACACGAAATGGCCATTTTAATACGCTTCCTGGTCATCTCAACCCCAAGTCAACTCAGCCTAGTAAAACTCAACCCCAAGTCAAGTCAACCCCTGTAAAACTCAACCCCAAGTCAACTCAACCCTGTAAAACTCAACCCCTATATTTTTTATATATTCATAAAATTATATTCCACATGATGTGAAAGTTCATTTCATAAAAATACAAGTAGTTCTAATAATTCTGAGTCAGTTTGTGATTTTTAATCTTAGACCTCTGCCTTTTTAGATAGTTGATAATGCGTTTATCTCCAAAATGTCAACATGGAACTAATCAGCTAATATGATTAAAATATGGATCATTTTGTTGTAATCTCTCTGAGGTCGACAAAAAGTTATATTCCATTGTTAATTATTTCTAAATTATCTATGTCTTCAATTAGCTTAACTGTTTTTTTAATAACAATGCTTTGTTTAAAAATATGTTTTGAATATCATAACAACTTTCTATTCAAAGTATCATGCAAAATGCTAAATTTTCAGAAATGATTGATTTAAATTACTCATCATGAAATTAAATTAGACATTGCACAAATGAATAGGGTTGAGTTTTACTGGGGTTGAGTTTTACAGGGTTGAGTTAACTTTGGGTTGAGTTTTACTAGGGTTGACTTGGCTTGGGGTTGACTTGACTTGGGGTTGAGTTGGACTTGGTTGAGATGACTTGGAGTTGAGATGACCTGTGCTTCCAGGTCATCTCAACCTCAAGTCAACTCAACCCAGTAAAACTCAACCACAAGTGAACTCAACCCCAAGCCAAGTCAACCCCAGTAAAACTCAACCCCAAGTCAACTCAACCCTGTAAAACTCAAGCCCAGTAAAACTCAACCCCTATATTTCTATATATTGATAAACATATAAGAAGGTTTATTTAATAAAAATAATTCTGATTATTCACTTTGTGATTTTCATTCTTAGACCACTGCCTTTTTAGATTAGAGTTAATAATGAGTTTATCTCCAAAATGTCAACATGGTACTAATAGGATTAAAATATGGGTCATTTTATTAATCTTGCTAATATATTTGTTTTGTTGTAATCCCTATGAGGTTGACACTCGTGATTATTTGGAAAACTGGAACATGACTATTGCTTTCCAGGGGCATATCCAGCAGCTTTCAGTCAGGAGGGATGCGATCGCCCAAAAAATCAGGTTTTCAGTCAGTGGGTGCGATCGTGGCACAAGCGAGCCAAAAAAGATATGATTTGACAAAAAATGATGCAACTTCCTTCAAAATTGGGGGGAGGGTGCGTGCGCACCCCTCCTGGCTACGCCTATATGCTTTCAGTCTATTAATTAGTAACTGTTAATGATTTTGTTAATGCATGTTCATATAAATAAAAAGTTATATTACATTGTTAATTATTTCTAAATTATCTAAAATTTGATTTCAAAAGATGTCTTAAATTAAATAATAGTGACAACTTGATGCATTAGCCTTGAGCTTTACCGTTTTTTTTTTAATACTTTAGTATCATGCAAAATGCTAGATTTTCAGAAATGAATGACTTAAATTATTCATCATAAAAAATTAAATTAGACATTGCACAAATGAATAGGGTTGAGTTTTAATGGGGGTTGAGTTTTACAGGGGTTGAGTTGATTGGGGTTGAATTGACTTGGGGTTGAGTTGGACTGGGTTGAGATGACTTGGGGTTGAGATGACCTGTCACTATGACCTGTCACCATTAATACAGTCACCAAACAAAATATCTGTGAACATTTAATACTTCTTCAATAAACATTACAGTCAAGGTGGGTGGGTTTTTAAATAGGTTTGTAAAACTTTTCTGTCTCTCTTGAGCAATTTTGGCAGCATCTTACTGTGAGCTTTATCTCGATCGTAGCGTATTCCTAACTTTTTAGTATGAAATAATTTGATATTTCTTAATTTCAAGGATCTCGATGGTTCGTATACTCTAGTAATCCAGTCGTCTGCGTACCATGCACTTAGTTCCCGGGGATAATAGAAACCGAATATGTCGATATGATGTCGATGTACGAAGTCGTAAGTAAGTATGGACAGTTTGCCGCCTTTGTGATTTGGTCCGACAACGCCTATCAATGGAGGTTTATACGTAGATAGGGTAGCAATAAATTGTTCCGTCCAACCACTTGTCTGTAAAATTGTGTCATCGTTAATTCTGTAGAAAAACGTCATATTATCTGCGTGCGCAGCCATCATAGCATCGTTTTGGGCCCACGCTGGCTTGCCTGAATATTGACATTTCACAAAATGGACATTTATTGCTTTTTCAATGTCCTCAAATTTATGACACTCACTTCTATTCTTTAGGACACCATTAAATATCTCATTGAACCTCTCATAAGCAGCGTCTCCAATGAAGAATGTGTCGTTATAATCATGCGCAAAATAAAATTCATATATGAAACCTTTCGACATTGTTGAACAGAAAGAAGGAAGCAAATCCACAAATAGAGGCAGATGGGATATGTCGTCTTTCTGAAGGTCCATTTCTCGAATTTTTATAGCGCATCCTATGGCGATACGCGTTGTGTTGATTCCAAGTGATTGCCCTTGTAGTAATGTACTATCTGTATTGGCACTATTGTATTTTACGGCAGTTGCTCTGATTTCTGATATGAAGTCGCAACTTCTAACGAAGGGGTCACTGGTGTTGCTAATTAATGTATCTTCCAAATGGTTTAACAGTAGATACATTAACGCGACAATTAAAGTCACAGTTACCATTCTCACCAACGGACGCAATTTCTTAAGAAATAATTTCATGATATCATACTATATTCTGAATTTCCTTCGAAATAAAACTTTTTTTATGAATTTAGATATCCCTTGCTGTACTTCTGATGGTTACAATAATATATGTAATAAATCCACTGTGTAACGAGTCGCATGTTAATCTCGTTTCCACCTTTTCTACTGACAATTTCGTTTTCATCCTCGGAAGGTACTATCTTATTAACAATGTCCGGTCAACAGCATCAACATCCATCGGGATACGACCTCTCTTAGTAAACACCCATTTATACAAGGGGCGATCCATATATTCTGATAAAAATGCTCTCATTTTGTGATTTTTTTTCACATATCCCTCTCATTTTTTCAGAAAATGTAAATTATGTAATTACACATACAATGCTAAAATATTATAGCTATGTCTTAAATTATTAATGAAATAGGATTGCTATGGTAACCTGTATTAAGGGTAGGCAGGTCAATCAAATTAAAACATATAAAATATCATAATAACTTGTTATTTTAATTATTTTAAAGCATGCGGAAATCAAACATTTTTTCTAAAAAAGTTTGGTATTGTTGCTCGTTGTTTGTTGCTAAACAAAAGTTTATTTGTGCTCACTATAACATCACAACAACTCAGAACTGACCAGTTAACATTACATGTCATGAGACACACCAAAAATCAAAATGTCAGATGAGGTAAGTGTGGTTGATGCAGAGTGTGACATTAACAGATACATTAGGAGTACCATTAGATTTTATGTACTATCAAGAATAAATAAGAGGACACTGTCAGAGAAATATGGACTTGTTAAATGTATGGGCAAGGTGTTATAGAATCTATAGGTATTATTGTAAAGAGGAAGGCATGGTAACTGTTGAAGATCATCCACAATCTGGTTGCAAGAAGAGCTTGTGGACAGAGAATAACACTACAATAAATTGAGATGCAACTTGAAGAGAGAACTACCCCACTGTAGAAATTAGCAAACAAGGGCAACAGGGGTATGGAACAGTTCAACAAATAGTTGGCAATGACTGGAAGATGCGTTTGATCTGCTTAAAATAGGTACAGAGGAATGATTAAATTAACAAATTTATCTATTTTATACATTATAATTTAACTGACCTGCCTACCCTAAATACAAGTTACCATGGCAACCTTTTTCCAAAATTAATTTAAAATATAGCTATAATATTTTAGCATTGTATGTGTAATTACATAATCTACATGTTCTGAAAAAATGAAAGGGATATGTGAAAAAATCACAAAATGAGAGCATTTTTATCAGAATATATGGATCGCCCCTTGTATAAAAGTGCAAACATAGTGCTCGGTTTCAAAAGTTCGTTGAACCACTTAAAAGTATAAGTCTATAATGGTGCTGTCATATAAAGCCACTGAGCTGAACGGCCTTTCCAAATTCATAGAAAAACATTGGGATGACTCACCAACTACCGCGTTGATTTCTTTTAAGAGGCACGTAAGATATGTCGAGCATTTTTAAGAGTTGATTTCTCTTAAGAGGAACGTAAGATATGTCAAGCATTTTTGAAGAGTTGATTTCTTTCCTAGTTTACATAAATGATCTTCCTGAGAACTTACACAGTAAATGTTACATATACGCAGATGACACTTCTCTTTACCAGTCATTTAACCATGATAATTTACTTGAAAAAAATAATATTTTACAAAATGATTTGAATTCACTTTTCAACTGGTCAAACTTATGGAAATTGAATTTCAAAGCTGAAAAAGTAAGGACATTTTATTCTCAAACCCTCGTAAAGTAGTTTTACAAGTACCAGATCTAACTATTGGAAATAGCTCTCTACCTCGTGTTGACTATCACAAACATCTCGGCTTAACACTTGACAAACACTTATCATTCGAACAACATATTAATGAACTATACAAAAAAGTTGAAAAGCACTTAAACCCACTCAGGTCACTCCAAAAGAAATTAGGAGGTAGACACTTGGAACTAATTTTCAAGTCATTTGTTCTTCCGATTTTTGACTATTGTGATATCCTCTACTCATGCGCAAACTTATCAAAATTAAAATTAATTGATCAGCTTTATTATAAGGCATATGCTCAGGAGTCATTCATGGTACATCATGTACTAAAGTTTTGAACTGTTTAAATTGGACATCATTAGCAGAAAGACGCAAATATCACCGCAATATTCTTGTATTTAGATCGCAGAATAATTTGTTACCATCATATGTTTCAAGTATTTTCCAAAGATTTCGTAGACATCATGCAGTTAATGTTCGACGAATTGCTCCTTTCCAAATCCCAACAAAAATTACATCATTTTCACATCGATCCTGTGTTTTACAAGCAATGATAGATTGGAATACCCTTTCAAAGCCCCTCATAGAAGCTGAGAATTTAAGTATATTTAAGCCAAGGGCAAAGAAAGATTCATCTAATTCAATTATTCGATCCTCTGAACTTAATATTTCAAGAAATCAAGAAATTATACTTAACAAGGTTCGTTGTGACTTAATTTTTAAGTCCCATCTATACTCTCATAATTTTACAAACGTTACTTCACCTGCATGTTCTTGTGGCCATGCAAATGAAACAACAATTCATGTAATTTTCTCCTGTATTCTCCGTGCTCCATTCTTAGAAGAGTTGGAAAACAATTTAGCTTTTCTTAATTTTGGTTATTCTCAATTCAAACACAAGAGGGACAAAATAGAATTATTTCTTTATGGGGATTCAAACTTAACTAAATCCACTAATTTGAAAATTCTCAAGCTCATTGCATCATTCTTAGAAAAATGTGCAAATGTGCAGGTTTCCCTGCCACCACTCACTTCACTCTTGAGTCCATATTTAAATTTTTCTTTTTTCTTCACCCTGCAATTATTAATCAAGTGGCTGATAATGCCTTCAGCAAAGCCACTACGAGTGTATAATGTTTATGTACTTTATGTATTTGTAAAATAAATTCTATGAATAAAAAAGAAATTCTTTCAAGAGGCACGTATATCATGATCACATCATGTTATCCAATCAGTTGAAATCAAGTTCGATTTCACTAACGTTACGACGTTATATCAACCGGAAATAAAATAATTCAACTCTAATTTAAAACATGTTGAATTTTAAATCATGACTGACGGGCAATAACAGGAAAAGCAAAAACTGCTAAAGGAAAAATGTTTCTTCAATGTGAGATAAAACGTGGCCCATGTGGATTTCTCAAATTGCACTTATATCGTGGATAAAATACTAGATTAGTATGAATGCTGGGTTTTATGAGAAAATACGTAATCAATGACCTTGAGACCCAGTACGAATGGTTCATCTGACCTAAGACCGCACACTGACTCTTAATAGGCCAGGATATAGCATGGGTTTTGGGAAGTTCAAGGGCCACTTGATAGACATAATGTTTCTGAAAGATGACTTCATTTAGCATCAATTCATATATGTCTGGGTCTTTTTAGTTTGTGGACGAAGGATTCTGAGCAGTTTTACCCCCCTAGAATAATATTTCAGGGGGGTACTATATTATCATTCTATAAAATGAGTTATACATTAACTATAGCACTGATTTATTGATATTATGTTGCTTGCACTGTAGTCAAGTGTTTCCCAAAGTTATAGGGAGATATGTTGATCGGTTTTGACAAAAACACAATTTATAGTAATAAATAAGCATATTTTCATTCGTTTTTTAGTCTTGCCAACTTTATTGTTGCAGCTTCAGAGAAATAATTGGCACCAATACTGCTTTAAGAAGTAATCTAAAATTATTTCCAATCTATGTGGGGAATTGTAATATAAAGAATGTAATGATACAATACTATTTGGAATTTTAAATATGGCTTTGTTGACCCCTACCCCTTAGAAATATGAGAAAGTGAAGATGGCACAATTAGATCAGAAATTCTATAATGAGTACTAATACTTCTCCAAGTAGCATTTTAAAAATGTATGTGTGATATGTAGAGGTAATTTAATGGGAGGGATGGAATATGAATTTTATTCTGAGGGAAAATATGATATTGGCCAAGGAAAACATCATATTGACTGAGGGCAATAGCCCGAGTGTTAATATGATAGTTCTCGAGGCGAATAAAATAAATAAAATTCATATTCCTCCAACACCATCAATAACCTATTTATTAAAAAAAAAATTCTGAAACATAAAAATCAAGAGATATCCCGGGAATGGTTCTGATATAGGATCTGATATGTGATTTAGGCTGAGACAGGATTGAATACGGGAGCTGGTATAGGAATCTAGCTATAATATGAGATCTTTTGAATATCAGTTCTATTCCCTGTTTATTTCCCAGCAAAAACATGCTATTATGGAATAATGTTATAATTTTGTAATGATCAACTTTTTTTTCTGGATGCCTTTGTTAGTCTAAAGGGTCATTTCTTCATGTTAAATTCTTGTTTTTATATTTTTCTTTTTCTAAAGATTTATCAAGAATTTCTCTTTATAAGTCAAGGTCTTACGATTCTTATTCAGATGCATCAGTCTGCATTTGTATGCTCATTATTTCATTTAATATATCCTTAAAAGTACAATAATTTACATCCCAATGATGCCTTGAAGCATGAGCTCTGTCTAGTCTAGCATAGCTTATCCAGGCAGGCACATGTGCATTTTATCAGCTAAGGGATTCCTTCCAGGGGGAACAGTTAATTGCTATTGAGTCTATGCTGTCAATCTTAAAACTAAATATAGTTTAATAGGGAGTAGCCATATCAGCATCTTCCATATTCTCCCCCCCCCCCTATAATCATTCAATAGGGACAATTGACGTTACATACTTATTCACATAGCACTCCTAAATGCACTGTTTACCACTGAAGGAATCCTACAGTTGATTAAATTCACATGTGACTCTAAAATACACCTTTACCCATGAAAGAATTCTCACTCGGGAAGTTCAGCTGCATCTCTGAGGATGCGTTGTAGAGGTGTTAGCTGTTTGTGCTTCCGAGGAAAATTCTTATATGATTTATTCATGAAGGGATTATATATTTTATTTGTTTACCCCCAGTCCCACTCCGTTCATGAGTATATACTCACTTACTCCAAAAGTAGTTCATAAAGCAAACCTTTTAAAGCCATGGCAAGATTCTACAGTTGATACATTTCACCCGTTTCTCTGAGGGTTAAGAAACTGTATAATGTTTGTGGTTTATGCTCCCAAGGATAATTTTAATTTACCGTTGTACCTTAACCTCCCTTCACCCCATCAATTAACAA